TGATTATATAGAAGATGATATTTGTCAAGCTCTTGAGGATAGTTGGCGTGATTGTTTGCAGTTTAACTATGGTGATAGTAAGATAACAATGAGGGATGGTTCCATGCACAAAACTCACAATGACAACTATTTTGTGTGGAATAACAATTAAGATATCCTTATTGCCTTTAAATTATCAAAATTATATATTAATTAATCTTAATCAGATGCAATTCTTTACACACGGGTAAAGAGAGGAGGTTAATCATGATATTCTTTTGGAATTCAATCCAATTTAGGGAGATTTAATTGGGAGTAAGAGATAAAAGGAGGAGGACATTGACAAAGAGGGTTAGGCTGGGCTTCACCCTTTCTTTACAATGATTAAAAGTGTCTAAAAGTGTTCTTGGAATGTTCTTGAGTGAGCATTGATGAGATTGTGAGTGCTTTGTTTCTAATGTGATTTGAAGAGTTTTGTTTATAGCTCATGATTGGCCACTTAAAACAAGACACTTTTGAGAATTTCTAGCAATTGTAAAGGAATCTATGCTACAGGGCTCTATTGGATCGAAACAACTGAGGTTAGCTAAGATTCAATTTTTGTGGGTTAGGAACAAGGTACAATTTTTATATTTTTTTTAAAATATTTTTTTGGCTAAAACAAGTCTCATTGAATAGGGTCTAAAGATCTTCATGTGGGGAGATTTTGACCAATATGAAATTGAGGAAGTGTTCAATTGAGTTGTTGAATCTATTTTTGAACTATTGCTAATTTTGTGCTCCATGTTCTTGGGTGTGCTTCCAGCCACAGCAGATTAATTCACTAATGATTAAAGTGAGTTTTATTATAGAATTACAAATTTCTCACTTAGTTTGAATAGCAAGCCCATTGATGTAGTTGTTCAAAAATTAACTATATAAAACACTTGATGAGATAATAGGACTTCAAATATCAGAAAACTATATAGGACAAAATTACATCATTTACTTTGGTATATAGTTTTATAATATAGGGTCCAAAATAATTTTCTAATGGTTTTTATAAAAGTTTTTAGATATATATTTTATACAATTTAAATATTAGTGTGACAAATACTTTTTAGTATAGTGTCTTCTATGGTTTTAAGAAAGATGTTACTCTGTTTTTCCATCAAATATTGTATATAATTTTTCATATGGTAGAATGTCTAGGATTTTGTATATATATGTGTTTAAGATATGTTAATTATATACTTAAATATAAATGTCAAAATATATTTTTGGTTTGCTTAAGCAAACTCATAGGGGGACTGGGATGGTAGTGGATATACCTAGAATAACCTTGGATATTCTAGGATATTCTACCATCTAATGGTTGTTATTCATTTAGATTAATCTTGTATTTATAATTTATAAACTTTCTTAAACCCTCTCTAGTATATTCTTTTTTATTCTAAATGGTTGATATGCAATAAGATTAATCTTATGTTTATAAATTACAAACATGCTTATAATTGTAAGCTTTATTTGATCAATTAGATTAAAAGTAGGAACAACACTATTATTAAGCAAACCAAGAATTGCTTCATGGCAATGCATAGCAAATTATTCCATATAGTTTATAAAAATAGTTATATAGTTTTTCCTATGGTTTTACATGCATTTATGATTTAATTTGATTATATAGTTTTTACATCTTTCAACCTCCTAAATGATTAATGTACTTTCATCCCATATATTTATCAACTAAGTCCCCAACCTTTAAAGTATGTCCAATAACTTATTTTAAGGTCTTTTCTGTTTTGTTTTTTACTTTCCACTAGGCAAATAGTAAAACTGGTTTTTTATCCTGCAAACTCAATTTGTAAAAGATCCATCTCTTGTAGTGGACACAAGGATTCATTGCAAATATCCCTTACACCCTAAGGGGGCAATTAGGCAAAAAAGAGATAGAGGGTAGCTGGAGAAGGCATGGGGTATAGTGGGAACTCATGGGCAGCAAGGACTTGGTGATATGAAGAAGTGTGTCAGTTGGACTGGTTTGGTTGTGGGGAAAGGTGTAGGGGTTTTTAGAGGTGCAGTCCAAGTGGGGCAGCATGATGGTGCGAACCATACGTACCATCAAACGAGATTGGGAAGGAACTGGGAGCACAGTAATTACCTTGGTTTATAGGAGGAACGTCCACATATCCATCTCATATCCTTGCATCTAATGTGGCAAGGAATGTGATCGAGAGGAGAGCAATGCACTATTATCTTAGCCCGATTTATTTTGTTTTTTGCGATGGAAATCTTTGACCTCGTGCTGACTAACAGTTATTATAACCGGCTGGGCAGTGGAGAAGTTCGCCACTCACAATCGTTGAAGAGAAATGGCAGAGGAGTGGTGGCACGTCGGCTTGTTGCAGTACTGTATTTGGTGCTTCACTGTGGCAGTTTTGTTGAGGTGGCAGAGGGTGATTCTACGACTGGGTTGCAGTTGGTTGGGGTGGGATCCAAGTCATTGAAACTGTATTCCCTATGGATGCAGAGTTCACGTCTTCAGATTCCTTCTTGGAAATTCACCTGGATCCTCTCTTGTTGGGCTGGTGTGAAGCAATTGTGGGTGGCTGGATAGGCGCTTGACTGCTGGATGTGACGGTGTCAGCAGTCTAAGGCTATGTGACGATTGCAAGCCATACGTCTATGAGACGTTGCAGGGAGCTGAGGAGCTGGAGGACTTGAAGGAATTTGCAGTTGAGTGCTGTGTGTGTCTTCATCTGCGAGGGCAACTTCAATGGCTCCAGCGACATCAGTAGCTAACAGCGTTGGTGGTGTGTTTGTAGAGTGTCTTTACATTCACTTATGTTTTGGTGGCTTTTGGGGCTGTATATGGGCAAGAGTTTGTACCGCTTAACAGGATGGTTGATCCATTTATTGCAACGGATTAAGAGCCAGCTGTCCCCACTAGGCTGACTCTCTCTCGGACCTTGTCCATCTCGTTCCCAGCTTCCCTCATGCAGCAAGACTACTGCCCACTGCCTCGTTGATGCTCTGCGCAGCAGCTCTGCAGATTCTCTGGCTCTCCCAGCTCCCTGGCTGCTCTAGACCGGCTGCCAATGCTCCACCTTCCTTCCCTTCCTTCTTCATTCCTGCTCCATTCCTGCAGAAACCAGGCCATCTGTTGCAAGTGGCAACAATCCCGGAGCAGGGAGACATGATCCTGCTCGTGCCAGGGAAGTGCAGTCTAGTTGCTGGAAACAAGGGCATTGGTAGAGGACGTGGAAGACATCCTCCACTTGTCCCAGGGTACACTATTTGCATAGCTGTTTCTCCCATGGGATGCGCAGTCTACAGTGACGCCCCCTTTCCACCTCGAGCCTATGGCAACGGTAGCGAGCCCGGGTGGTGCAGACCCATGGTGCAGCACTGGAAAGTCGAAGCGGCACCGTGGCTAGGTATATGTCGTATTTGGTGGCCACTCCGGACCTGTCCTCTATCCAGCGATCACTGCTGTGTTCATGGAGTAGTCATCGAGGGGGTCTGATACAATGAGTTCCAGGTCTTGGCTCAGCCGCATTGTATGGCTATAAGAGAGCGAACAGATTAAAGAATGCCACGTTTACAGTAAATGAAAAGTGGCAAAAATCAGAACCACGTTAAATATTCTTGGCACCATAAAATTAAACGCACACGCTGTTATGCGTTAGAGTCAACTCAAGTCACTCGAGGTCAATGGCCCGGTCAGAGCTAGCAGCCCGCCATCGTATCTTGGTTGAATATAGGTATCTGCATGAATCTTCCACGTGCCACATGTACTATTTGTACTATTTCTAACCGTCACCCACCCAATCCGCATTAGTTCAAATATTTTATTATCATCAATATTCTTGGAATGAAGCACATTAAAATAAATAAATAAATAAATATATATAAATATATAAAGGATAAAGATGTAAATTTATTTAACTTAATGTTTTTCATCTTAATCAATACAATAATAGTTTTAGATATGGGTTATAATACAAATATAAATTGGGGAATTAATAATACTTTACTTTATCATGAAGTTAGAGATATTATTGATGGAATTCAACGAATTGAAACTAGAGTTAATAGATCTAATTATGATTATCCCCCTAATTATGAGGATTGGGAATCTGTGAATCTTGGTAGAGGATCTGCTCTAATATTGTTTGAACGTTTAGGTGGAAATCCTCCAAATTGCTTAGTAGGTAATGTTTTCAATGATAAAATTAGTGGTAATACTCTTAAATCTGGTATTCAATATTTAAAAAATATGTATAAAAATGAAATAATTACTGCATGCTCTAGCATGTGTGATATTAAATCTAGAAATTATAGACTAAGATATGTTATTGATGAATGGTGGAACAATAGCTATTTGATAAAACCTTTATCAAAAGATAATCCAAATTCTTTATATATTAATTGTGATAATACTCAAAGTACATTATATGCTAAATTTCCAAGAGATCATTTACTAACTAATGAGTTTTTAGTGTCACCAAATGGGAAAAATATACTTTATATATTATCAAATTGTAAAATTGCATTATATTCTGGAAAAAACCGTTTATGGATTTCAGATAATGTAAATATTTATTGGGGATTATGTAAACTTATACTCCAAGGAGATGCTAATCTTGTACTATATACAGAAAAAAAAACAAAAATGTGGTCTATAAATAAATATTGTGTAAATTCACATTGTAAACTTCTTACATTTATTACTGTTCAAAATGATTGTAACCTTGTAATTTACTCATCTAGTCCATTAAAGGAAGTGTGGTGGGCAACAAATACACATACTCATCCAGGTTGTATTAAATAAAATTTAAAATAAATAACAACTTTTGAATAAAAAATTTTAATTGAATTTTTTTAAGTCACATATAACACCTTTATATTAAATTGTAGCCATGGTGAAGTATTAAACTTAATCTAAAAACTTATATTCTAATATTGTTGTATGATGTCAGTTTGTTTGCAGCTGGGAAAGAGGCCCACAGGAATTTAGGCTCATGTATACTATCGTGATATTTAGAGGCTCAAGTATTCTTATTTTATCATTTTCCAATTATTTAGAATTTTTATATTATACAAAGCAAACCAAGAGTTGCACAGAATAGCAAACTAAATCTTCCAGCATGCATTAGCATGATTTGTCAATTCCATTTTTCTCTACAACGACATCAAGATTCACAGCCCTTTGCATGATAACCTTTGGCCCGTACTAAATGAGAGGAGGCTATGGAAACCTCCAAGTCATTGTACCTCGGGAAGCTGGTTCACGGGAGCTTTCAAGAGATTGGGATAGGCAGCCAGGATAACTGCCAGGTACTCTGGATTCATCTGAAGAAATTTCTTGAACTCGGCCCAGCTGATAACACCATCGTGATCCATGTCCAGACTGTTAAAGAGATGCTCGATCTGCGAAGGATTCTATTAGACTCGGCTCGTAGAAGATAAATAGGTCACCTGGATGGCCCCCAAGCTTGGGAACGTCTGCACCAAGGCCTGCTCAACTTCTTTTCTGGAGAGAAACCCATCCTTGTCTTGGTCGCACGCATAAAATGCAGCTTCGATTGTAGAAGAGAAAGCCGTGTGCGTGGAGATGAAAGCCAACCCTGCCATGAACTACAAAAGGAGAAAGTGTACTATTGGATGAAATGGAGAAGCTATACCTCTCTGAAGTTGACGTAATTTTTCTCGGAAGTGTCGAACATCTGGAAGACTTGCATGGTATATGGTGTAAGAGGAAGATCCAGCGCCTTGAGGAAATCCACAATGTGCAGAAGACCGCTGGTAGAAGTGTCAGAGAACTGTTAGCAGCGGAAAATTCTAGTAAAATGCGAAACCATGTACCTGTGAGTTGTATCCATTGCGCTGAATTTCTTGAGATATGCTTCGGCAGTCTCGTAGTCAATATGGAACAGCTTTTCCATCCGAGAAAGCTCGGGTAGCTGCCCCGGAGGCAGATGCAGTTTCTTTGCCATGACCGCCAGTTTCATGTCCAAGAAAGTATGCTCCGTGCATGGAACGCCCAACGAAGCAGCCATCATATGCCGCACCGTCTCGGTGAAGTGGCGAGGGTCTTTGAGATCTCGGAGGCCGGGTTCCACCACTGGAAGGTATTGCACCTGATAAGTAAATCGCTTCCAAAAGGTTTGAGGAAAGAAACAAAGCAAAACTCTTACCTCCATGAAGTTGACGAGCTGCGTCATCAAACGAAACATGACATACGGCAGGCTTCGATTCACCCATGCCGGACTGATGCACTTGTGAGGATATCGTATGCACATCGGCTGGATTGGCAGGCCTTGAGCGAACGCCCCCGTCTTGAACGATATCAAGGCCTTTCCATTAGTCGTAGTTCCTTCTGGAAAGATGAGTACGTGAGGCCACTTGTTATCGATGGCGCGTCGCCGGATTTGAGCTGCTGCGTCCCTTCTCGACCTGCGAATGGCTCTGTCCACTGGAATGATCTGCGAAAAATGAAAGTTCATGGAAGTTCTTCGCTTTAAAGCTTTAAGTTCTTTACCTGGAGCGCTGTAAGAAAGAGACCCACGATTGGAAGCTTGGCATTCTCCTTGGCGCTCAAGATCACTGGCATGTGTGAGAAAAATATGTAGACCGGATCCAAGAAAGATACGTGATTGGAGACGACGATGGGGGCCACGTCCCGAGGAGCCGGAGTTCCTTTGATCGAAATCCAGACGTAACCGAATGCGAACATCGCGATCCTTGCACAGATTCTCAGGGGCCAGAGGAGAATCCTTCTCCAGCGCGAGAATGGCTTGTAAAGAGGATCTTCGACGCCGATGAGTGCGCACCTCACCGAGCAGTAGGCCAAGATCAATGCCGCCGCGAGAATTGCCAGCCGGAGGAGAAAGATTGGAAGCATGACGATCGTCTTGAAAATCTCCGATGGACTAAAACCCAAAGACTCCCCCTGGAACGGATTCACGACCGCCTCGGGGCCGATCGGTGGCCGCTTGCCAAGGGGAAATGCGTCGGCGGCATCCCGCTGCCGATCTTGGGCCATGGATCGATCCCTAGAGTGGAAAATCTACCTGTTCAAAGCCAGAAGAGATTCAGCTGCCGCGCACCATAGATCACCCGCCGCAATGCCACTGCGCATCCCTGGAGAGAAGAGGACGATCGAGCACGATCGATGAGAATCTCGCTATGGCGCTCAACGCAAGCCACGAATCACAAAAAATTAAAAAAACTTTGCTTTGCAATTAACGCTGTCTTTACATCTACCGTCGAATTTCAACGATGAGATTCGTTTTGCCGTTAGACGAATAGACCCCCGGGATCCTTGTTCAAAGAAATATACTCCCCAGCGATACGTATTACCGCAAACATCGCGACACATTGGCGATTTCTTTATTCGACACATAGCGCCGGGTTCTGCCACGTGTCGTATTTGCTAGTATAAATTCTCGAGTCCCGTAGTGGAGGAAATATCATAGCATACACGCATTTTCTAGCGATTTTCTTGGCGATCCTTCAATCTTCTGAGGCTTTTCTAGCAAGATGGCACTCGCAGTAGGCACTAGCATTGCAGCAATCCCTTCCTCGCTCTCAAAATCCTCTCTAGGAGCGGCCGCTCACAAGTCTCGATCCAATCGCTCCTTGACCTTCCTGCCAGTGAGAGCTTCGTCGGATAATGGCCGACGAACCCCTGGAGGAGGCGATGGGATCAGCAGCGTTCTGGACCAGACCAAGAAGGAGATCACCCGCGAGGACGTGCTCAAGAACCAGGCCGAGAATGAGTCGGAGAAGAAGTCCGTGTTTGGAGCGGTGCCATCGTCCGGAGCATTGTGGCCTAGGCCTGAGATTGAGAGGCGGCCAGAGACGGGCGATCGATCATTTGCGAGCTTGATGGCATTCGATGGCGCTGGCCCAGAGACGATCAACGGCAGACTGGTAAGTCCCTCCCTTCTCCAAAGTTCAGGATCCGTGGAGTCCGTTGTTCTAAGTTTATTTTTCCATTGATACAGGCTATGGTTGGAATCTTGTGGGCATTTGCTGTGGAGAGAATGACGGGACAGACGGTGGCCGAGCAGCTCTACACGCCAGGCAACTTCGGCTTGTTTAACTTCTTGGCGGTCGCACAGCTCTTTGCATACGCGTCACTGGTTCCCATGTTTAAGGGAGAGAGCCCCGATAGCCGATCCTTGGGCCCGTTTAGAGCCATGGCGGAGCGCTGGAATGGGCGGACTGCCATGCTTGGCTTCCTCGCTCTGGTGCTCACGGAATTCTTCACCAAGACCCCAGTTTTTCACATGATGTGAGTGACCTGAGAGTCTGTAAATTTTTGTTCATTAAATTTTTGTTAATATTTTTAAACATAGTTCTGTAATGGTGCTTTGATCGTGATCTCCCTTCCCCTCTCAATCTGATTACTCTTGCTAAAGCGCTCAAACTGCTGCATTATGATTTGTCTTTGCGAGATGTTGACTGCTCGGCTGGCTGTTCTGGCAATCTGCTCAGCGGGCTAGAAATCTCAGTGGATTTCACCTTTTTCGGACTCACACAACGCACTAAAAACTTCCATCACCATGATCGAGCACTGGGCGCGTTGATAGTGGAGTAGCCAACTGTAAATCTTTGATTTCTGCAAAATAGATGGCTTTAAGAGATCGAACGTAATAAAAAATGCCACGTTTACAGTAAATGGAAATTGACAAGAACATCAGAAGCATGTGTTTATCTACTACCTCCTGTTAAAATTTGTTCTGATTTGCAATATAGAGTCCTATGTGGCAAGAAAAAAAGATGATGTGGCAGAGAGGGGCAAATAGTAGAAAATTTCCAAAGTATGAAAGCCCATCATACTTGTTTACTTAAAAGTGCTATTGGCATTGGGGGATAGATATCTTGTTACCCTTGGATTTTTAGAAGGATGTCTTAGATGTATAGTTAGGAGTTTTATGTTGTCATTGTGCAGCATTGGGAATGAAACAAAGAGAGCTAGCCCCTTGAAAATACCATTTTCCTTAATTTGGTACCCAAATCTTTTGTTTCAGATACAACATGGTGGCTTGATTCTTCACTTATGATAAGTTTCTTTCTTGCAAGTGGAGACATTCGTATGATTCTAGCGCTTACATGTACCAATATACTTTTGTGTTTGTTCCTTTCTTCATTATTACGAGTGGAACCTCTATTTTTTTCAAAGAAAGCCAGTGATTATTTTGGGATACAGGAAATCATGGTGCTTTTTATCTTTTGCTACCAGAGTTAAAATAAGTTCTTTGGTTAGGGTATATTTTTGTGTCACAACTTTTAATGGTAGTATGTTAATGGCTGTCTAGAAGAACCAATTTCATGTTCCAGGTAAGTTGGAATCACAGCAGCAGCAGCAGTAGCAACATCACTAGCGAGATGCACTCAAGGCTGCACAAAAATTCTCCACTAGTATTTTGGGAACAGTCACATGTACATAGTGGCAATGGCCAGCATCATTGAGTAGGTTGGTGAGAGGGACAAAGACAAAAATCTCACAAAGGACAGGAAAAAAGATCTTGTGGGATTGCCCACAAACAGTGAAATATGTTTTAAAAGCTTTATGGAAGAAGACTCACAATCTGGAAAAAAAAATGGTAAAAAAGCTTTCTTTCAGAGGTGGAAGGATTAAAAAGGAAGCTCATGAGCAAGGTTGTTAGCTTCAATTTAACCCAATTGACAAGTATGATGGAAATACATGAAAATATAAAGGAAGAAATTTAGTTTCATTTGTTTCCATTTCTTCCAATTTGAAGAGTTTATGGTGATTTGGTAGAGATTAAACTTTGAGATATTATCTTTACTACCCTCCTCACATCACTAAACCAAAGGTATCAATTTTTGTTCTTTGTTACTCATAACTCTTTGGTATAATATTCTCTTTTTTAATATTATTTTTTGTGTCTGAGGTGTAAGAAGTTCTATAAGGTTCTCTTCTTTGAAAGACAATACTTTGTTGTTTTAGAAAATCTCAAATTACTAACAGTTCTATTGTTTGTTTGGTAGTTCCATTTTTTTTTTCTTTTTTTCTTCTTTTTTCTTCTTTTCTTCCATTAACTCACTATGAGTGGCTCTTTTTCATTTCAAATGTTTTGTCATTGATATTTAAATACACTCCCTCAGCTGGATAAAAGTGTGGGAGAATCAAAAAATAAAAAAAATAAAACAAACCATATACATTAATCAAAATGTCAATAAAATGGCGTCAATAGTTAACCAAAGTTTTGCTGTTGGTCAAAGCCCAAGAGCTGATACAAATTCTTCACTACAATTAGATTACAAAGCATATGATTTTCAAGTGAAGCCATTTTAAAAAAAGGACTACTCACATTAAATAATAATAAAGAGCTTAACAACATGTTTTGTAATAGATTTGTGCATATTATGCAAGAATCATACACTATATAGTGTTGTCTATATATATGCTGCCAAAGTCATCCTTGCTCATCCTCTTGCTCACTACTGCCTTGAACAACACTTTTGTTGAACTCGTTAAACAATTATATGATGCTATTGATGCTGAAGCTGTCATTTAAAAAAATATCGCACTAGTGCTGAAGCTGTCATCCAAAAGAATGTCACCACCCCTATTTGATCAAAGAGTTTGATAAAAAAAGTTTAATGTAAGTGAATGAGGATATAACACCTAAGTATTGCATTTGAAACTTTGATTAGCTACCATAGAAAACATTATTATAAAATCGTTGGTGAGCAACTGTTAGGTATTTTGCTTGAAGAATATTCAATATCATTACCTTATACTGGCTGGCTAAAAGTAAATAAAGCTTAGATGCTCAGATAGAGAATTATAATGGTTTGTCTTTACTGCACTTCATCCAAGCAATCAACAGTATTGGATGTTTTCCTACTTAATATCTAAAACTTTATTTCATAATGGAACTACAATTCATTACTACAATCAATATAAAATTTTTCTACAAAATCTAACTCTTCTTGCATAGCAATCCTGTTTATCTAAAAATACAGAAAATTAAAAAAAGACAAAAATTACTCAATTGTTGAATCATTCTATTGAAGCTACCTCACAAATCCAAGCCAATGATATAAAATTTCATCTTCTTAGAGTCATGGTAACTTTCACGTTTACAACGAACCTTGAGGATATAAATTTTTGAACACACAGCATCCAAATATGCTAAAAAAATGTCATAATTCTCATCACGCATAAATGCCATGCTAGTAAATTAGTTATTTCTCAAGCAGCCTCCTAAACGTAACTGCCTAAACATACTGATTTTCAATATTCTCGATACACACATGCAATGTATACTTATGATCAACCTTCTAAATCTTTGAATCACATAAATTACACAACCAAACATCTTCACTTGCACTTAAGACTTTTTTGCCATATTGTCTACCATTAACAACTTTTGTACAAACTAGATAAGAAAAATTATTTATGCAAATATCTCTGATGTTAGCAATAATTCAGTAACTATTTGAACTCTCTATAACCTTGAGATTAAGTCCTATCATTTCTGATATTGTTGTTATGTGAACAGTTAAATTAAAGCCTAATGACCCAGTGATATGGATGAAACTAGTGGAATCTAATATTACTAAATACCATACACGTAATCAAGCTACAATCCCTAGATTAGCATCAAATAAAACTATTGAAGCTTCTATAATAGATATTGACTTCCCATTGTATTCTGATATTTTACCATCTTTTACACAAGAATTGTTTCTCTCCTCTTTCAAACTTTTCATATATTGTTTACCCTTTGTTTTCAACTTTGAAGTCCCAAAGACAAACATCAATGCTCCTTCCTGATTTATCACTAAGATATACTATCCTCTTCTTAATGAGAGCCCCAAAAGCCTTGCATATAACATTTGTCAATTCAACCAATGTAACAACATCAATCACATTCATAAAAGCATCTAGTTCTATATATAATACTTCCAAAATAGTTTTTCTATCCAAAACAATCTTTGGAAATCCTACATCATCAAGTTGAATATTGTACACCATACTCTTACTTACCAACATTGCCCATTTTGATTTAAAAGGAGTATATTGATTTTTCGAAGGTTGTATGCCACCACTACTAGAAAACATGTAAACCTTATCCTAAATGATATTTGAATGTAGTGATTTTACAACTACACCAAAACAAACGACACAAATTTTTAAAAACTTAATGGCGACAATATCAAATGAGAATACAAATTTGCCAAGACTATATTTTATAAGTCTTTCCTTGTGAGTCACTCTTCTAAGTATTTTTTATCTCTCTTATGAGGGACTCTTTCATTCCATGCCTCCTAGAATTTTCTCCCTATAATAAATTGGATGTAACACAATTAATATTTTAATGACACAAACATGAACTTTTTTGAATTCCATCATACATATATTTTTTCATCTGAAATTCTAGACTCTTAAAGAAATGAAAATTACACTCACTCCTTTATACTCCTTTATAGCAATAGCTTTGTCAAGGATATGCTTTCAAACCCCACATTCCATGTAAAAACATTGGAAATTATCAAAGAATAAATAGTTAATGGAAAAAAAAAAAAACAAACATATACTTACTGTTTATTGTCAATCTCACAAAATGCATAATCAATAAGTTTTATGAGGCTTTTTTCTCGAATAGACCAAAAACTAATTGCATTTGTTATATAAAATGATACATATACTTCCATAACTTCATTTCTATCAGTTATACAAGTTTTTCCCACAATAGCATCAGGTTTGGAATCTAATTTTGTAATCCTCAAAACAATTTCCTCCTCTAGTTTTTCTCTGATATTTTTCAGCCCATCCACTATACACTTTATTCTTCAACATGAACTCAAAAACCTAATATGAACAAAACTACTTGTTATAACAAAATTAAATCTTCAAGAATAAAAACATGGAGTTATGCATCCAAGTTAATTATGAGAACTGCTCATCCTTTGTTGAGTATGGCAAAATCTCTCGATTCAAAGTTCTCTTTGTTCAATATCTTTTACTAGGTTGTAAGTTTCATGGTGCAATGCTCTTGGTTGCCATGGAATCAGGGCATGCTGGTTGTGTCCTTTGCTCTCTATACAAGGATATCAAGAATGTTTTTAAACTTATAGTATGGCTAAAAATAAATGTGTCTCATACTTTGTCATGATCTTTGTTAACTCAATACAAATATATAGTGTATATGATCATGGGATAAAATTTGAATATACTGTCACTGTGGATCCTTAGAACTTTAGGGGATAAATGGGGATAAAATAGCCATTAAAGATTCTTTCATCAAGCAATTGGCTAAAGGGGAGAGAAATAAGGTGCGCTACATGTGGTATTGGAACAAATAGCATGCGTTCGATTCCCATTAATTAGTAGCTATTTAAAAATATAATATACCCTTGAGCAAAGTATATTCATACCCTTAAATTTAAAATTGTACATATTGGGCATTTATGTGTGTGTCTTTCTTCTTATGTGGAGTATCCATGAACGAAGGTATCCACCATAGAACTGCAGTATGAGTGGATAACTAATTGCCCCATATGGAATAACTTGTCTACATAATAAATGTTAGTTTCTCTAGGCTCAATAAAAAGTTGTTAGTCAATAGTCAATAAAAACATTGACATCTCTAAAAAGGGGGTGAGTATAACACATATGATCATATGACCAATTTTTGTTGTGTATACCCCTCTCCACCATATCATTTTTTTCTCTTGCCATGTGGGTATCCATGTTATCTAGGAGGCTAATCAACCCTAGCCCCTCTTGCTCAAAGTCTTTGCAAACAAGCCAATTCATCAATTATTTGAGTGGGGTGATAAAATAATGAATTCACATGTTATTATAGCAAATGTTGATGAGGGCACTAACCATCCCCATTCACCCATATGTCTTGCAAAATATCCCAAATCTACCATATGGCCTGCCTAGGCAAATCCCTCTAAAAAACATGAAAGTGGCTACAATAGGGGAGGCTAAGAAATCCAAGGCTACTAGCTAAAAAGACTAACCAATTTAGCTTAGAACCCTAATTCTTTATTGCATTGCAAAAGTGTGAGAGAGGATGATGCAATGTGCTTAGAGAGTTGGGGATGATCATGTTTCCACTGCAAGCCACTCAAACACTCTTTATTGCTCAGCTTTGTTTGGGGCCATAGCAGGCTGTCCTACTCCAGAAATCTCTCATCTCTCAATCCTCTCAAAAGAACATTATGATTCCTAACTTCTCAAGATTCAATATTACTATTTTAGGGCTACTATTCACTATACTTAACATATATTTTCTACTCCTAGCTAAATCTCCTAAAATAGGATTGCAAATCATCCACACTTTTGGGCACCCAAATCACAGGAATATTTCAGTGGATCTCCTCTCGCCCTAGTGCCACATGTGTCTGACTTTCTATGGATGATACTTCTTCTCTTTTTGGTTTTCCCTAGAGTTTTCTTCTTTCTTCTAAAAATCTCCATGTATGTGAGTGAGTTGAGATACTACATTTTTGCGCCTCAGCATGGTTTCAATGAATTCACCACAGCTGAATCATCTGATTTTGCTAGCTAGCAAAAGGTGGAAATGTCAAGTGGCAAGCCCTCAGCTGAATGATGAGTTTAAGGGTTCATGGTAAAGGTAAATATTGTAAGTTTCTCATGCTTCAACACTGTAAACTACTATACCTGGTTGTCTCCAAGGCCCCAGGACTCAGTAAGACATGGGAACATGTCAAGAGCACCAAGAGCTGCAGGTCATGCCTGTTAGCAAAGACTTGGCAGTGAGGCTTGGTTTGTCGGAGAAAGTATGAACACAGCATTAAAAGAGAAGAAACAAATACCTACTACTTTCTCAAGAGGCCAGTCTGAGTTTTCAACAATGAGAATGTTTTGCCGTTAAAAGAATATACCCCCACGATTTTATGTGTTAGAAGAAATATACTCCGATGGTCCTCCCAGGGATACGTATTACCGCAAACATCGCGACACATTGCGAATTTCCATATTCGACACATAGGGCCCGATTCAGCCACGTGTCGTATTTACAAGTATAAATTCACGAGTCCCATAATGGAGGAAGTATCACAGCATAGCTCTAGACATCTACCAAAGCTCACACAACGCCTTTTCTATCTTTCAATCTCCTGAGGCTTTTCTAGCAAGATGGCACTCGCGGTAGGCAGTGGCATTGCAGCAATCCCTTCCTCGCTCTCAAAATCCTCCCTAGGAGCGGCCGCTCCCAAGTCTCGATCCAATCGCTCCTTGGCCTTCCTGCCAGTGAGAGCTTCGTCGGACAATGGCCGACGAACCCCCGGCGGAGGCGATGGGATCAGCAGCGTACTGGACCAGACCAAGAAGGAGATCACCCGAGAGGATGTGCTCAAGAACCAGGCCGAGAACGAGGCGGAGAAGAGGTCCGTGTTTGGAGCGGTGCCATCGTCCGGAGCAATGTGGCCGAGGCCGGAGATCGAGAGACGGCCAGAAACGGGCGATCGATCATTCGCGAGCTTGATGGCATTCGATGGCGCTGGCCCAGAGACGATCAACGGCAGACTGGTAAGTCCCTCCCTTCTCCAAAGTTCAGGATCCGTGGAGTCCGTTGTTCTAAGTTTATTTTTCCATTGATACAGGCAATGGTTGGAATCTTGTGGGCCTTTGCAGTGGAGAGAATGACGGGACAAACGGTGGCCGAGCAGCTCTACACGCCAGGCAACTTCGGCTTGTTTAACTTCTTGGCGGTGGCACAGCTCTTTGCTTACGCGTCGCTGGTTCCCATGTTTAAGGGGGAGAGCCCCGATAGCCGATCTTTGGGCCCGTTTAGAGCCATGGCGGAGCGCTGGAATGGGCGGACTGCCATGCTTGGCTTCCTCGCTCTGGTGCTCACGGAATTCTTCACCAAGACCCCAGTTTTTCAGTGAGTGACCTGAGAGTCTGTAAATTTTTGTTCATTAAATTTTTGTTAATATTCTTAAATTTAGTTTTAGATCGTGATCTCCCTTTCCCCTTTAATCTGATTACTTTCGGATCCTTGCTAGAGCGCTCAAACTGCTGCATTATGATTTGCTTTGCGAGAAGATCAACCATGTTGACTGCTCGGCTGGCTGTTTTGGCAATCTGCTCTCAGTGGATTTCACCTTTTACGTACTCACACAACAGGAGGTCATGAGCTGCACTAAAACCTTCTAGCATTCGGGCAATGCTCTCGATTTATCTGTACCATCACAGTACTGGGTGAGTAGCCAACTGCAAATCTTTGTTTTGTGCCGAATAGATTATCGAACGGATTAAAATATGCCACGTTTACAGTAATGAAAAGTGGCAAAAAAACGGCGTCTGGCTAATCCAAAGCCTTTGCGAGCTATAGCCAGTTCATTGGTTATTCGGGTGGAGATAAAATAATAAACGCACATGCTGTTATATTATGTTTGAGCAAATGTGATGGGATTTGAATGTCGAAGAAGATTACCTAGGGGGTTCTCTTCTTGTTTTCTCTTTGTTCTCCCTGGAGTTTCTTCTTTCTTCTAAGGATCATCACGTACGTGAGCGACTTGAGATCACAGGTACTACTTTTGCGCTCAGCATGGTTTCGATGAATTCACCGCCACCACCAGGCTCAATCGTCTGATTTGGCTAGCTAGCAAAAAGTGGAGATGTTAAGTGGCAAGCCGTATTTGGTTTTCAACTGAACGATAAGATGTTCATGGTAAAGGCAAATATTGATAAGTTTCTCATGCTTCAATGGTAAGGAATTCGGACAATTCACCAGCAAGAAACAGCGAAACAACGACTGGAAGGAAGTAATCGGGAACAGTAAGAGATAGGATTCACTTGGTTGTCTCCAAGGCCCAGTAAGCCATGGGAACATGTCAAGAGCGCCAAGAGCTGCCGGTCAGCAAAGACTTGGCAGTGAGGCTTGGTTCGTCTGAAAAAGTATTAACATAGCATTATAAACAGGGGACAAGAAACAAATACCCGCTAACTTCTCAAGAGTTCTTGTAAACCGTTGCAAATCGCATATTTCAACAATGAGACTATAAACGAATATGCATACTTCGATGATCCTTCCCATGGATACGTACTACCGCAAACATCGCGACACATTGGCGATTTCTTTAATCGACACATAGCCCCTGGTTCTGCCACGTGTCGTATTTGCTAGTATAAATTCTCGAGTCCCGTAGTGGAGCAAGTATTACAGCGTAGCTCTAGACTTCTACCAAAGCTCACACAAATTCTTCCACGCTTTGTCTATCTTTCAATCTTCTGAGGCTTTTCTAGTAAGATGGCACTCGCCATAGGCAGTGGCATTGCAGCAATCCCTTCCTCGCTCTCAAAATCCTCCCTAGGAGCGGCCGCTCCCAAGTCTCGATCCAATCGCTCCTTGGCCTTCCTGCCAGTGAGAGCTTCGTCGGACAATGGCCGACGAACCCCTGGAGGAGGTGATGGGATCAGCAGCGTACTGGACCAGACCAAGAAGGAGATCACCCGCGAGGATGTGCTCAAGAACCAGGCCGAGAATGAGTCGGAGAAGAAGTCCGTGTTTGGAGCGGTGCCATCGTCCGGAGCATTGTGGCCTAGGCCTGAGATTGAGAGGCGGCCAGAGACGGGCGATCGATCATTTGCGAGCTTGATGGCATTCGATGGCGCTGGCCCAGAGACGATCAACGGCAGACTGGTAAGTCCCTCCCTTCTCCAAAGTTCCTGGTTAGTCCCTTGTGCTAAGTTTTATTTTTCCATTGATACAGGCAATGGTTGGAATCTTGTGGGCCTTTGCAGTGGAGAGAATGACGGGACAAACGGTGGCCGAGCAGCTCTACACGCCAGGCAACTTCGGCTTGTTTAACTTCTTGGCGGTGGCACAGCTCTTTGCATACGCGTCGCTGGTTCCCATGTTTAAGGGAGAGAGCCCCGATAGCCGATCCTTGGGCCCGTTTAGAGCCATGGCGGAGCGCTGGAATGGGCGGACTGCCATGCTTGGCTTCCTCGCTCTGGTGCTCACGGAATTCTTCACCAAGACCCCAGTTTTTCACATGATGTAAGAGGTAGAAATTTGTTGATTTGTAAATTTTGGCCAGTACTTAAATAGATATTAAATTCTACATGGTAAACGAAAAACGGTTTGGATCCCCTTAACACTATCAATGAGATTTTCTAGAAACACTTTGAAAAAGTTGATTTAGAAAAAGCGTTGTTCAAGATTTGATAACAAAAAATTTGATAGAGAGAGGGCGGGCTTATTCTTATTCCAGAGCCGCCCAAATAGCTGGATCATCGTAGTTTTTGGCCAGAAACGTTGCGCCGGCTTCACGAAGAGCAGCCTCAGGATTCCCCGTTGTCAATCCCACCACTGCCATGCCCGCGGCGACGCCTGCTTTGATTCCAGATGGCGAGTCCTACGATCATCCACGAGAATCGTTAGTCAAAAGAAAAGTCGTGATAAAACTAGCAAAAGAACGTAAGAAATAAGAAGAGAGGTCCAAAGAAAGACGTCGAGAATTTGATCACCTCAAAGACGAAGGCATTGTCTGCCGTGATGCCGAAATGATCCAGAGCCTTGAGGTACGGATCTGGGAATGGCTTTGCTCGAGCGCAATCGCTCCCCAGGATCACCGTCTCGAAGAAACCTTCCAGCCCGACCTGGGAGATCATAAACTCGACGTTCTCCTTTGGAGCATTGCTCACGGCAGCGCGACGCAGGCCTTTCTCTTTGATCCACTTGCACAGCTTGTGGAGGCCGGGTAGCGCCTTGAGATCCTTTGCCGCGAGCCTGCAAATCTAGACGGAAGAATCACGGCGAATTCTTCCAAGAGAAGGGAAAGGATCGATCTTTGTACCCGCGAAAGTATGCCTCTTTGTCATCGAAGAACTTGGAGCGCTTGGCTTCGTCCCAGTCTGGAAAGAGGAGCAGCCCGATATCGCGATTGTGCTTGCCGCTAATGTGGCCACAGAAATACTCCCGCGTGATCGGAGCTCCTCCCTGGAATCCGACCTAAAATCGCAGCGAGGGGTGTGAAATCGGGGAATCCAATCGGAAAGAGAGGCGACGCTCGGGCAAGATCGATCGGCGTACCTCCTGGAGCATATCGCGAAACGCCTGGTAATGCACCGGATCGGAATCGCACAGCGTCCCATCGACATCGAACAGGATCGCTCGCAGCGATTGTGGCGATGGAAGCGATCTCCGCCTGCCCGCCGCAGCATCTGTGCAGAGATAGCGATTCCACGATCAGAGATCTAAGATTCATTGGCGCTCTTCGTACCGCCATTGGAGCTATGCGACATTGGCGACGAGACCGATTCCCCCCTTCTTCTTTTTTTCTTCTCGGGGCCTTTTCTTTCAAGAACAAAAGCAACGGGGAGTGTGCTGCCACGTGTCTGACATCCAGGCCGTCGGGATGGCTACCGTGGTTTGAATCCATGACGTTGTTTCTGGTACATCACGCGTTTGGCTTCGAAAGGTACTCCGTACAAGCGCATCCCAGAACATTCCAAGGAAGATCCTAGCGTTCTAATCTCCAAATCTCTCAATGTTAATAAATTTGTCTTAGAGCCACAATTAAATGAAAGTTAAAACAGTTCTTACTATAGTAAAAAAAGAGTTCACAGTTAAGCTCGCCACCTTCTGTCCAAAACCCAGAACTGAAGGCGACGAGCATACTGCATCCTGCAATCCAAAACCACAACAGCAACAAACTTATCTCTCCAGCTCCAAAGAACTAGTCATTTCTTCTTGGCCGCCGCCTTGGTAACCTTGGCACCGGTGGGTTCCTTCTTCTCCACGGCCTTGATCACTCCAACCGCCACCGTCTGCCTCATGTCACGCACCGCAAAGCGTCCCAATGGAGGATACTCCGCGAACGTCTCCACAACCATGGGCTTGGTCGGCAGCATCTTCACGAACCCAGCGTCACCGTTCTTCAGGAACTTGGGCTCCTTCTCCAGCTCCTTTCCGGATCGCCTGTCCACCTTGGTCAGGATCTCGGCGAACTTGACGGCGATGTGAGAGGTGTGGCAGTCGAGCACCGGGGTGTAGCCGTTTCCAATCTGTCCCGGGTGGTTCATGATGATCACCTGGGAAGTGAAGCTGGCAGCCTCCTTGGCCGGGTCGTTCTTCGAGTCAGAAGCCACGAAACCACGCTTGAGATCCTTCACCGCGACGTTCTTCACGTTGAACCCGACGTTGTCACCGGGGAGTGCCTCCACAAGGGACTCGTGGTGCATCTCCACGGACTTCACCTCAGTCGTCAGACCGGTTGGGCCGAAAGTCACCACCATACCGGGCTTGAGGACTCCGGTCTCCACTCGTCCCACGGGAACGGTTCCAATTCCTCCGATCTTGTAAACGTCCTGGAGTGGGAGGCGGAGGGGCTTGTCCGATGGCCTCTTGGGTTCGGTCACCTGGTCCAAAGCCTCGAGAAGAGTCGGGCCCTTGTACCATTCGAGGTTGGTCGACCTCTCGATCATGTTGTCACCCTCGAAACCGGAAATGGGAACGAAGGGGATCTTGTCAGGGTTGTAGCCGACCTTCTTGAGGTAGGACGACACCTCCTTGACGATTTCTTCGTACCTCGCCTTGGAGTACTTCGGGGTGGTAGCGTCCATCTAAACAACAGAAAAAAATCCATGAGACATACCCTTCGAAAACTACAAGCTATGAATATAAAACCATACCTTGTTACAGCAGCAGATCATCTGCTTCACTCCAAGAGTAAAAGCGAGAAGAGCGTGCTCACGGGTCTGACCATCTTTGGAGATACCAGCCTCGAAACCTCCAGTGGTGGAATCGATAATGAGAACAGCGCAGTCAGCCTTCCACAAACACAAATAGAAAAATTAGCACACAAAAGCAACAGTGTTAAGGAAAAAAGAGGACTCACCTGGGAAGTTCCCGTGATCATGTTCTTGATGAAATCGCGGTGACCGGGAGCGTCGATGACGGTGCAGTAGTACCTGTTGGTCTCGAACTTCCACAACGCAATATCGATTGTGATTCCACGCTCGCGCTCGGCCTTGAGCTTGTCCAGCACCCACGCGTACTTGAACGACCGCTTGTTCATCTCGGCCGCCTCCTTCTCGAACCTCTCGATCGTTCGCTTGTCGATTCCTCCCAGCTTGTAGATGAGATGCCCCGTGGTAGTGGACTTGCCGGAGTCGACATGTCCAATGACCACGATGTTGATGTGAGCCTTCTCCTTACCCATAGCTGCTACCTGAATCGAGCGACAGCCAAAGATCCAGTGTTAGAGCAACGAAATTGAAGAAAAGAAGCACTAGATCTAGAATTCTCGGCGCTAGAGTACCTGCGCAGAAGACGAAAGAAGGGCCGAGGAACCCTAGCCGCCTCAAGAGGGTTTCTCTCAAGTGAAGACCACAAACTTATATTCTTTCCATCCGGGTTAGGGGTTTGACACTAGCCGTGCGATCGCTATCCGACGGCCAGGACAGTTTCCTCATTGCAAAGCTAACTTACCGTGCCAAATTAAGCCCAATCTCGTACGGATGGAAATGCCAAGTAACGGGGCGTTTTAGGGTTTATTGCTTTGGCGATGGCGTTTTCCTCTCTGCGCTCTTCTTTGCTGCGCGCGCTTGGTAAGCCGTGCGCTCGATCGCCGGAATATCATGCTTTGGCTGTGTAGGCGCCACGAAATGCAGCAGTGAATCGGCGAGATTGGGGCGTGTAATGTGTCGTGGCTGCTCCGACGAGGCCTCGGCCTCGGACATCGAGGAATCGGTAGCCAAGGACGGTGATCAATCGGGGCGGAAGCTCCGTGCGCCTGCATTCCAGGGAGTGTACAAGGTATTGAAATCCTTCGTGCTTGAACCAGTCCTTTTTTCTTCTTTTACGTTGAACGATCACAGCTAGAAAGTTCTTCCAGCTCTCGTTCTATCTAGTTCATTGAAGTCAGCGTAGATTGAAAGTATCGAGGTTTTCTTTTCTTGTGAATGTAGGCTGTGATCGTGGGAGAACTTACGCAGCCACCAGCCGAGCTCGTTCTCAAGAATGGAAACGCGATCGTCACGCTGATGGTCGCGACTGGAGGGCTGCGCGTGCAAAAGAAGTTGAATGCTCCAACGAAGCAAATCCACAAGGTGGTCGTTTACCATCGGCGGCTCAAGGATCTGGCGACGCAGATAAAAAAGGGGTGAGTGGAGTTCTTGGTGTTCGTCCTTTTTCTTTCCAAGATGTGTTTGTGCGAATCGCCCAGGCAGCAGATCTATCTAGAAGGCAACATGGAGTCGAGGGTCTTCAATGATCCTGTTACTGGCGCCGTCAAGCTATCGCGAGAGATCTCCGTGAGACAAAATGGTAAGCATGGTTTCTTCTCATTGCCTTAGAACTTGGTCCTTGTGGTTCCTTCTTTTTCTCTCTAGGACGTTTGTTTATGCTGGACGATCTGGAATTGAGGGGGGTCAATCTCAAAGCTCCTAAAGTGGAGGAAGGAAATCGATGAAAACAAACGAAAAGGTAGTGTTTTTTTGTAACATAAAAACCTTTCTCAAAATGACTGTAAATCTTTTAGCTAGGGTTTTTTAGCCAAGTAAAATTTGTTAAAATGCTTTCATTCAATTTAAACCGGATTTTTTAATGCTAAAATTTAATGCAACCACCCATTAGTTTAAATAAATGTTTAAAATAACACACTTTTTATTCTTCAGAAGTTTGCAATGTATTGCAAAACAAAAGCTGGACAAACGTTTATCCAAGCCAAATCTTTGTTGTAGATGATTGGTTGCATTAAGAATTTATAATATATTGCAAAAAAAAAAAGCTAGACATACCTTTATGCAAGTCAAATCCTTGCTGTGATGATTGGTTACATTGAGATTTTCTGATCATCAAAATGACATCATGATCATGGGTAACCTTTTTCACCAAGGAGGTAAGGTGACAACACAATAGGATTTGGACAAGCTTGATTAGGAATTTCTATTATTGAAGTTTACATGATCTCTTTCCATTGAAGATGGCTGCAAAATCTTGAATTTCACCATACTTGAGTGGCCACAGCAAATGTATAAAAACTGTTTTTTACTGTTAACAATTGTAAAGATGATAAATTGATGGTGCTTGAAATATACACCAGGATCTTCAGTTGGCTGCATGATCTCAAACTGTGTATAGTTGAAGCATCCTGCAAAATCTTGCTCTAGATAAACCCAACTAATCTTTTAGGAACTTGATTGAATCTCTAAGTGTATTGATAATTGCTTTGCAAATCTCATACACAATCCCAACTACCGTACTCTCATCAATCCTAAAGAGCTCTAAGAGTGTTATATACTTAACTACATTTCTTAGGTCATACAAGGTACAAATTACTTTGACTTGCACCAAAACTACTCTCTGATAGTTGGTAGATCATACAAGAGAAGATCAACAAAACGAATGAAAGTTAGCTTTCCCATGCCAAAGTTCTACTTCTAATGAGTGTTGTCATAAACTTACTCAATGAATCTGTTAAACTATAATGTTGAGTTGGCTTCACCCACCACAAGCCATACAGATCAACTCAAGAAGCAGCCCTTACTATTAGCAAAGAAACTTATTGAACAATATAACTACTCTAATTGATCCTCAAATTCCCAATCTAGATCCTAAACTTTATCTAAGTAATTACACCTTTTTCTACCTTTGATAAGTAGTTTGCATGAACCATAATGCCTTCTGAATAACCAGTAACTTGGCCAATTTGATCATGCTCTTGATGCAACAGATGTTTCTGTAGCTTGCATTGTCATATAGTTCCTTTTAAAATATTTTTGTTTCTATTTTTGAACTTTGCTTTTTCTTGTAGGTTCTCATTGAAAACCATGAAGCTCAAGCTGTTCAGAAGTCAGAAGGCATTGTGTAACATGGATTCCTTTACAATGGCCCTGACTAGAATCTAGTGAGTAGAAATAAAAACTAATTAGGTGGAAATGCTTAGAAACACTTTATTCCAGTGGCAGACAGTGAGCTACAAACAAAGGTTTCTAATAAAAAAACTAAGCAAAATTACACATCTTTTAAACATTGTTAATCATAAGCTCTTAAATGGGATTGTAAATCCTCGTCACCCTTTGTCTTGTAATGAAGATTTTATGCACGCAAATCCATGATAAATCTCCTCTCCTTGCCCTAGTGTTGATTAAACATCGGTTTGGATTGCAAGGCATATGAGAATCTTGCAACAATCAGATCCTTTAGATTAAAGGATGTCCAAAGTATTGGAATGTTAACTAAGAGGATAAGTGATCCAAAAAAGTAAAACAAGCTTTGACAGTTATTTCATAGGCATTGACATTCCAATGTAATCTTTTGAAGAAAAAACCAATCACTGTCTGTTTTATTGCTTATTTTTCAAGGTATGAAATTGACTTAGTTTCAAACAAAACAAGTTGCAAATTTGAAATATATTGATGAAAGGACAAGTTCAACTTGGATCTCAATGTTTTTCATTTTCTTGGTGGCTTCACTCTTTAGCTCATTTTTATCATCACTTGCATACTCTGGTGAGGTGATCAAAGAATGCGATGAAACTGAACATGCATATAATAGTCATGAGACTTTCTGTGACTGCCTTTGGGATATTTGGGGAGAGTTTGGTGATGCACGGGCACCTGGTGTTTATATTGCAAGACAAGGAGCATTTATAATGATCCTCACCATTAGTAGAATCCATGATTATATAGAAGATGATATTCGTCAAGCTCTCGAGGATAGTTGGCGTGATTGTTTACAGTTTAACCATGGCACCAGTAAGATAACAATGAGGGATGCTTCTATGCGCTTGTTTATCCAGAACTCACGACGAGACCTATTTTACGTGGAACAACAGTTAAGTTATCCTTATTGCCTTTAAATTGACAAAATATATAAAGTGATTATATGGTCATTAATATTAATATTTATGGCAAGTTTATCCTAGGGTGAGATCGGAATAATGCCTCAATAGAAACAGCTTCTTCAATCTTCTTCTATGGTTTGGACTCAAAGCCCTAGGCGAGAGCTCAATCCCGTAGCCACCTTTGTCCTCTGATCCTCTTGTCAGGTGAAGTGTCTCACAGCATGTTACTGGTATGATATATTGATTGAAGAAATATTTCAAGCTTTGGAAATAAAGACGGATTCACAATTTCAAGGTACCATATTTCAGCCACAAAGTTGATACTACTTAAAAAGTGCAGAAGGGCTAGACAGATTTATGAGAGTTTCAGAATACATACCGAGCACGATGAATCTGCCATTGCTCTCGGAAAGTATGGGAGAAATTTACTAATAACAGGCACGGGCCTGATGTTTATACCTCGAACAGTATAGAATACTTTCCTCCTCGTGTGTGTGTGCGTCTCTATCGGGCATCATCTCTCAGGTAGGTTTTACAGTACCAACAGTTTCTACATTTCAGATAGACTCATTTAATCGTTTGTTGTAACAGGCACACCACCAGGAGTTTTCTTATCCTTTCATCATTAAGTAACAGCTCCTTACTAGTGGACGAGTTTCAGGAGATAATTCAAGCTCTTGGAAGCGCTTTCTACCAGCCACTTACAGTCGACCAGCAGATTTATTCCTGGAGAGGAGCTGCCGGATCCAAAACTTTGCCAGCTTTTCGTTGTCGTAAAATGATCGTGAGAATCCACATTCTTTTCAAAAATCCACACGCAGTTCATGGCGGACAGTCTCTTCCATCTCGAATTTATCTTGCCCTTATTTGTTTTTCGTTCCATCGCGTCCAGTGGTGCTCCCTTCCCTTCGTGTTGTGTCCTTTGTGGCTGTAACGTTGATGCGCCCTAAACCCTAATCAAGAATATTCGCTTAGGGCTCTAAGGTTTGTTGTTGCGGGAAGGGAATGCTGCTGCAGCCCACGCGATGGCGGCAGCTAATGGATGGGATCGGGCGTGCGGGGCGTCAGGTCGATTCGGCATTCTCTTGGCGGCAGCCGATCCATGGCGCTGGAGGGCCTGGGCCTCGGATCGAGCCGGCATTCTCTTGCCCGCGCCGGTTTTACGCAATCCTCACCATGGATGACTGCATTCCCAAGCCGCGGCCCATCGTGGAGGCCGTTCCCAAGCCCATGGACAGGACGTCGAGGAGGACGGGTCTCATTGCTGTGAAATGCGGCATGACCGCGGTCTGGGACAAATGGGGGCGGAGGATTCCAATCACTGTGCTATGGGCCGATGATAACCAGGTTGTCCAAGTGAAGACAGTGGATCACGAAGGATTCAACGCTCTCCAGGTAAGTTTTGTTTTCTCTTGCAAAGCTTTGCTCGACTATTTGGTTTTTTTTGTGTGTGTTTTTCTGGCTTCTTAGGTGGGATGTGGCCAGAAGAAGCCCAAGCAGCTGAGCATACCAGAGCTCGGCCATTTCCGATCGAAAGGCGTGCCGATCAAGCGAAAGCTCAAAGAGTTTCAAGTCTCCGAAGACGCGCTCCTCCCGGTCGGGACTCCACTTACCGTGAGGCATTTTGTTCCTGGCCAGTTCTTGGACGTCACCGGCGTCAGCATAGGAAAAGGATTCCAGGTTTTTGTTGCTTCTAGTTTGGATCTTGTTTGATGTTACTTTGTTTATGTATCAGGGTCCGATGAAAAGATGGGGTTTTGCTGGAATGCCTGCGTCCCACGGAGCCTCGCTTTCTCACAGAAGCCATGGAGCCACTGGAGGAAGAAAATCACCAGGCAAAGTAAACATGACGATGCCATAGAAGTCGATGCTGTTGCTAAGTTTCTTTCTCTCTTTCAGGTTTTCAAGAATAAAAAGATGGCAGGACAAATGGGAAACCGGAAGGCCACTGTGTTTTGCGTCTGGGTTTACAAAGTGGAGCCGCAGCGAGATCTTATATGGGTCAAAGGACAGGTACTCACTCACGAGAAAATTTGGTTTCTCTTGTCTTTCTTTCAGTTAGAAATGCGAGCTCTCTCTACAGGTACCGGGTTGCAAAGGAAATTTTGTCTACATCAGAGACTCTTGGAACAAGCCGCCAGACGTTTCGCTCACTCCTTTTCCGACACATTTCGCTCCTCCTGACGAAGATCCTGCGACTCTAGAGGCACTGATCGCAGATGTAGGAGCCGAAGATCCTTTCCAAGTTGATGAAGAGAAGAAGTGATCATAGCACAAAGTTTTGGAATAATCCGCATTTCTAACTTATTCCAAATCACGATTCTGGGCTTGACATTCACCAATTACTGTTTGCTACCAATTTCAACATACCAAATCTGACGTAGTTTCAAATGAAAACAATATATATATTCGCAAAAGACCTCAAAATGGTTCGTGTTTTCACGGTTGCTCTACTCTTGAGCTCATTTGGTACCGAGGCTATTGTAGAATGTGATCGAAGTGAAAGTGTATGTAACGATCTCTTTTCATATTTCGGATGACCTTAACGATGCACAGGCGCCTGATGTCACAAGATTTGGTCTGTAATGATCCTCACAACCATGATCGAATGGTGAGCGATTTTGAGGAAGCTATCTGTGACATCTGGGAGGATTGTTTGCATGACAGAGTAGCATAGAGAGATAGTTCCATGCCCCTCATGAAGTGGACAACAGTTATGTTTTAATGGTAGGTAAATTAATAATTTTTCTAAAAAAAACTTAAAAGATGATAAGAGCTTCTCTAAAGGTAATATTGTGCAGACATGGAACCATATGTTTTTATTCTTGACAACTTTCAAGGTACTAATTCTATATAATGCCTTCCATGCACCTTTAACCTCAAAGATGTTTATCACTTGGAGCATTTGAACTTGAAAAAGTTTTCAACTATGAATGATGTTTTGTTTTGAGGATGATTGGGATGGCAGATGATCAGGATAAGGATGGCAAATGGAGGTGATTCAATATTGCACACATAACATTGGAAAAGAAATATATAGATCCCTTAGTTTCAGAGGAAATTCATGATATTTCTCTACTCCTTGTAGCAACAATATGACTTTTTTTAAGATAAGCCAATGCATTTATCTCATGTGAGAGGTAAAATAGCACATTTTAGCCTTGTGTTATAGGATGTTCACACCTCACTTAAAGTGATGAGTTGGAGTATGTTGCAATCTGACATTATTTTGGCATCATAAACACATTAGTGGTGGAGTGTTCTGTGACAAGTTTTGTGCATTACAGAGCATAGCAGGTGGCTTTAAGTCCTGCAGTGGAGTCATTTCAGAAGCAAACAAAAACAATGTTAAGTGTTCATGCTTATGGTTTTGCTTGACATGAATAATTTGAGTAATCAATACTTATAAGGGTATCTTCTTAAATTTTATTAAGCCAAGGTTGTTTATTCTTATTTTTTATTTCAGTGAATCCAAGCTTTTTAGTAGAGGTTTTTATATCAAAACTTCAAGAATTCTTAAATAATTTTTGTTGAACCTTTTAAAGCTTTATCAGATTATTTTTTGTTGAGAATTATTGAGATTTATTCTTGCACAGTGTCTGAGGTGTATGTTCCATTTTGCATCGTGAGGGACTGTTGATACTCTATTGTCTGCTTGCGAACTTTAGAAACGCATCACCAACATCCTTGAATCCATGGGCTCCATCATTTTCATTTATTTAAATTTGTCATCAGAGTGGTTAATGTGTCATTGTTGAAGCATATTTCTGCTGGAGGCTGGAAAGCTCCATGTACGCCCATCTTTTCACAAGCTTTAAGGGCTCTCATCTTTTCCAGAGGTTCAAGCCATGGCAAAGCTTGGAGCTCTCATAGTTTTCCTTTCCTTCTTCTTCTTCTTTGCTCTTTCCTTGGCTTGTGAACTCCCTCGAGTTCCTATGCATCTCAGCAACATGGCACTGATTTGATCCAAGCATCATCTCTCTTTCGGTTTTGATCTTGTGTAACATTTTCTTTTTGTTGATTTATAGAATCCCAGTCCAAGCTCAAGGGCGAGGGCAACTACTCTGTACTGAGAATCTTCTACACGAAAGGTCCCTTAACACTCGAAGTCAAAAAGTCGTGGCTCTACTTTGGAAAATGGGTCGATGGAATCACTGATTTCACAGTTGGATCTCCTGATGGCCTCAAGATGACTGCGTGGGGCGAATCTATGCCAGTGAGAGGTCCGCGTCCCCCACCGGTACCCAGGGCTCCTTTGATATTCACGGGACCGATGGCCGGAAGGTAGTATATGTCTACTGGTACGTTTCTTATGGTGGAATGGAAGTATACCGCACGAGATAGCCGGTTCAAGGTGACGACCACAAGGATTGGAGAATCTTATCTGGACGTGACTATGGTGATCACATACATTGCCAAGAAGCTATTGCTTGAAACTTTGTGTTTGAGTAAGAGTTCCTTATGATAAAAAGCTTTGTTGAGCTTGTGATGTATGGCGCAGCGAATTTTGGTATTTTTGAGCTTCGCATCTCCCACAGTTCCATTCCAAGAGTCAATTAAATGGCTTGAAGTTAGAAAGTGACTATCGTGATCGCCGTTAGATTTGAAACTATCTCAAAACTCTCATCCAAGGACGAAACCACCTGCTAAAAACAGGCAAAGGAAAAAAAACTCGTTGGAAATCAACAAAGCCAAGAAGAAGACAATTTATAACTTTGTAAATCAAATGAAGAATGCAATAAGTCCAGTTTTTAATTAGTGCAATTATCCTAGGCTTGACATGCTCGCGTTATTAGAGTTTTCACTCCACAGAACGTCTCCTCAACTTAAGATGCTGAGAGTCAAATAATGTGGTGTCCCACATACACGTATCTCGCTTGTTTTTTCGCTGTCTATTCATGCCTTGGTGGTTGTAATGTTAATACAGTCCTCTTTGCATAACAAGATACAAAAAAATTAATGTGGAGAGCGAGTGATTGATTGTCTCCAAATCCATGGCTGGTGGCAGCAGTGGCAAGGATAAGGACGGGGTAGAGGGGAATTGTCTCCAAATCCATGGCTGGCGGCGGCAGTGGCAAGGATAGGGACGGGGTAGAGGGGATATCTGATATCTATTTTGTGTAATAAGGTTTGGCCAAGTGGAATATGGTTATTGCATGAAACATTTGGTGGAGTGATCATTTTGGCCGAGCTGGGATGTGGAGCGGTCTTGATGTTAAAGGGCTCTTCAACGTGCTGAATAAGAGCTTGCTGCCCACTGTCCTTCATAAGATACGTGATATGCATGTGAATTCTACAGGAACAAAATGGGAGTCCCGCATCTAAGATTCCGAGACTTGAAACTCTTCAAGCTTTCTCTTAATCGTACACGGAAATGGCCGAGCTGTGGCAAGCTAAGCTGCCTGGGCACAGCCCACCTAACGAGCCAGGAAAAAAAGAGCAATAGAAAACAAAAGAACAAACACTTACCTGGAGAGCCTTGAATGTTTCGTGATCCACGGTCTTCACCTGGACAACCTGGTTATCATCGGCCCATAGTACAGTGATTGGAATCCTCCGCCCCCATTTGTCCCACACCGCGGTACTGGTCATGCCGCATTTCACACCTGTCCTTCTAGCCATGAGCTTGGGAATGATAGCCATGAGTGAGCTTATCGAGGGAGCAGCTGCGACAACAAGGAAACGTCCACGGACGGGACACCAAGAAGAAACAGGAAGGCTTGCTTGCAAGAAAGTGAAGCCAAAGTAGAACAATGTTGCTCGACGAAGCTCGTCTTAACGGACTGTGGCTCGTCTGTTAACTTGATCTAGCTGTTGGCAGCCGTTGGATGAAGTCAGGTTCTCAGCGAGAACGTGGCTGACAACTGCCAGGTTCAGCTATCAACTGCCAATTCTAGAGAACCCTCTCATCCTCGAATAACGTTATTCCACGTGTTCGCTAATGGTCTCGCCACAGCTAAGGCCATTCCCCGGGCACGGGCTCGCTCGTTCCCTCCAGAACGCGCTCGCCGGGCTAACGCCCGGCTTGCCCGTTCTGGGCGGGAACGTGCTCGCCTTACCCGGGAACTCCTTCATCATTCGGATGTGCTCCCAGTCAGAAGGCCGATAAGCTGGCTGGAGATCTCTTTTCTACCGGACAATTCGATTGTCTTCAAGCCGGAAGAGCTGTCGAGCGCGCCTGCTGAAGTTCTCGGTCGTAGTAGCCATGGTGCTTCAGATGGACGGCGAGAAGGACTCGCCAAGGACAAAGCAGCGTTCACTAGAAACTTTTGTTCCATTCAACTTCCAAGCATACTTCCTCTCTGAGGCCAGTACCGCCCGGGGGGGGGTGGGAGGGGGTGGGGACGAGAGAACACGAGAAGCTCGCGTCATATCGGACTCCTCACCTTTGGAAGTTTATCTGATCGCCTTACATCCATTTCTTCTCCGCAGAGAGAAGTGGTCGAAGATTTCCACCGTTTTGCTCACTCCTTTTCCGACACATTCGCTCTTCCTGCGACTCTCGAGGCGTTGACCGCAGGTGTCCCAGCCCACGAAGAGAAGAAGAAATGATCAGAGCACAACCAAAGTTTGGACCAGTGGGCCCTTTTAACTTCTTGTGAAACGAAGTCTTGACGATTCTTCCACGGGGGCTTTACATTTCAAGCTTTGGAGGAAAGACCGATCACTCTTAGTTTTATTGCTCGACTTTTCAACACAGCAAAGTTGACAAAAGTGATATATATCTTCAAAATCTTCTCTTTGCAAATGTATAGAGATGTTTTTTATTTTTTTTATTGCTTTGTTCTTCAGCTCATTTGATTCATCGCTGGCATACTCGAGTTTGGTGATGCAGGAGTGCGATCCACAACCAAGAGTATACATCCACAACGAGGATTTTTGCTCTTGCTATTACGAGGTTTCGGATATCTTTCTTGAGCATCAGATACCTGGAGTTTACGCCCACAGACGGGGTCCGTTATTGATGGTCCTCACTGTCTCTAGATTCCATGCTGGAACGGAGAGGGATTTTGAGGAAGCTATCGATGATATCTGGGAGAATTGCTTGGAGTTGGGGTATGGCAGCAGTAAGATAACGCTGATGGATGGTTCCATGCGCCTCTCTGTGGTGTTTCGTCGAGATGAACTGTTAAACGTTGAGCCGACCACAAAACAATTTAGTTATCCTTATTGCCGTCAGTTTCACTGATTGTTTGAGCTGTGACAACGAATTTGCGGTGAAAAGTTATCTAGAATTAACTACGTTGTGATGCAACTTGTGATGAAAGATGGGGTTAATGCTTGCGTCTCACGGAGCCTCGCTTTCTCACACAAGCCACGGAGACTAAATCTCCAGCCAAAGTAATGCTTGATACTGTTGCAAAGTTTCTATATATTTCTAAAATTTTTAACAAGCTAAAATGTTGTGGGAGTTTAGAAATGTCAATCTGTGGGAGATCTCTCAAATGTTTTTTTTTTCTTGTTGGATCTCATTTTTCTCATTTAGATCTTCATTCTACAAGACTTCTCAAATGCTAGGTTTTCCAATGGTTGGATTATTATTCTTTTCACTTGCATGCTCTAGTGTTCACTTTCTTCCTCCACACATAACAAGATTTATTATGTGCATCAAATAATGAGCATGGAAAACCTATAAAAATCTTACAACGAGAAAAAGCGTCCTGTCAGTTCTTCTCTGGACAAGCAGCACGCAAGTCTTCCTGGACCACTTTGATACTCGGCCTCTCCGAGCGCTCCAAAATGCAACTTAGCGCCAGAGCCAAAACATCGTCGATCCCCTGCGGTGGCTCTTGATCCCTGTCGTAGCCAACTAGTGCCTGATCGTAGCACTCCGGACCCCTGCCCTCCGAGACGAGCAGCTTCACCCAGTCGGTGAGGTCCACAGCTCCAGAGTTTCCAGAGATGATGTCTCCGGCACCTTTGCCCGTGACAATCTCCATCAGGATCACACCGAAGGCGTATATGTCCGCCTTGAGAGTTGGCTTTGGCTTCCTGGCGTGTGCAAGCTCGGGAGCGCGGTATCCCAGCGCTCCCGCGTTGAGAATCTGGTTGGCTGTTCCAGCGGGTGTCATGAGCCGGTGAATGCTGTAGTCGGACAGCCGCGCTACGAGAGAAGATCCATCCAGTAGGACGTTGCTAGCTTTCAAGTTGCCGTGAGGGAGCTTGTGCTTGGTGTGCAGATACGAAAGTCCGCGCGTAATATCGACTGCAATGCGCACTCGCTGTGACCATTCTAGTGGTGGAAATCTTCGACCACTTCTTTCTGCGTAGAAGAAATGGATAGGTAAGGAAATGCGTAGAAAGGGAAAGGCGGAACTTTTACCTGTAAGTCGATCAGATAAACTTCCAAAGCTGAGGTAGTCCGATATGACGAGCTTCTCGTGTTCTCTCGGCCCCCAGTAATAGCCTCGGAGAGGAAGTATGTTTGGATGTTGAATGGAACCAAACTTTCTAGCTTCACGAGTGAACGCTGCTTTGTTCTTGGCGAGTCCTTCTCGCAGCCACTTGACTGCCAGCATGTGTCCATTTTCGAGCGTTGCCTTGTACGAAGTACCATGGCTACTGCGACCGAGAACTTCAGCAGGCGCACTCGACAGCTCTTCCGGCGTGAAAACAATCGAACTGTCAAGTAGAAAGAGATCTCCAGCCAGCTTATCGGGAGAACGGACCTTCTGACTGGGAGCACGTTCGAGTGATGACGGACCTTCGTCGAGCAGCGTTGTTCTACTCTTGCTTCGCTTTCTTGTGAGCAAGCCTTCCTGTTTCTTCTTGGTGTCCCGTCCGTCACCTTGCTCCGGAGAGCCAGGGACGTTTCCTTGTTGAGGTAGAAGCTGCTCCCTCGATAAGCTCACTGAAGCACCAGCTTTAGCCGCAGATGGAGGCCCGAACTCCAACCGATGAGGACTTTTTACCACGTCACGTTCATCCGAAGAATTTTTGTCAGCTGCTTGCAATCTGGAGTAGACGAACAGAGCGATCGCAATGATGATGACTGTTGCTGCTACACACCCCCCAATCAAGCCGGCCTTCACTGCGGATGATAATCCTTTGCCCCGCCTGGACCGCAAGGACGGGATTCCAGCCCCGCTGCTTCCAGGTACTACAAGTCCGGCATTGCCCGGGAAAAAAGACGACAGTGGGAATCTTGATAGCAAGTTTGCTGGTAAATGTCCCGACAAGTCGTTGTTTGTCAGGTTCAACGTCTGTAATGAAGATGGAAGCTGTGCTGGAATCCGGCCACGAAGATGGTTAGACGAAAGATCCAAATTCTCCAAGTACCTCAACCGTGAGAGCTGACTGGGAATGCCTCCAGTGAAGTCGTTTCCTCCCAGGTTAAGGACGACTAGTCCCGATAGAGAAGCAATTTCTTGGGGGATGGAACCATTGAGACTGTTGAAAGATAAGTCAAGGACTTGTAACGGGGAGAACAAAACCGCTGGGGGAGTGGAAGAGATGGAGGTGGGCGACAAGAGCTCACCGGGGATGGCGGAAGAGGAAAGGAAGCTCACGACTGGAATCCCACCCACGAGATTATTGTTTGCGACTCTGAAAATGGTTAGAGACGGGGAGTGAAAAAAATCACCAGGGATTTCACCGTCGAGATTGTTGGAGCTGAGGTCTAGCGCGGTCAGTTTGCGGAGGGATGCGAGAGTACCGGGAATAGGACCAGACAAGGCGTTGTGAGATACGTTGAGGTACATGAGTCGGAGGAGGTGTGCTGTTTCGTTGGAGAGAACGCCGTCAAAAGAGTTGCCGCTGAGGTCGAGAACCTGTAAGCTGTCCCTCCAGTCTTTCATCACGTCCAAGTTCCCGGAAAAATGATTGTTGCTGAAGTCTACTATGGCGCAGCTTCCCAGTCTTATCGGCAAAGTACCCGAGAAGTTATTCGACGCTAGCCTTAAGATCGATAGACTGGTGGCTGCCACCATTCCAATAGTACCTGCAAGAAAGAGAAGAGTGAGAAATATAAGCGACAGAAGAGAAGCAAACAACGTAAACACTTACCGGAAAGATTGTTGAAGCTGATGTCAAGCTCCTCCAGCACAGATTCCGTGGCGAGAAGCGCCGGAGGTACATATCCCACGAAGGAATTGTTCTGGAGTTTCAAGACACGTAGCGAGAAGACAAACGAAAACGACGGAAGCTTCCCCGACAACAAGTTGCTGCTCACGTCCAGGATTTGCAGCTCGCTCGCAAACAAGCTCGCCGCGTTCTCGGGAGCCAGCTCGCCAGTAAACCTGTTGGAGCTGAGATTTACCGAGCTGATGCCTTGCGGGAAAACAAATGGAGCACCCTGCTGCCACGGGAGCAACCCCGAGAGCTCGTTGCAGCTCATGTCGATCACTTCCATGCGGCTGAGACCCATGAGCACGGGATCCACCTCTCCGGAGAGCCTGTTCTGGCGAAGATCCAGCCGGTGCAAGCTTTCCAAGCTGCTCATCTCTCTCGGGATCACACCGCTAAACGCGTTCCACGAGAGGTTGAGCGAGACCAGCTGCCGCAACGAAGTGATCGATGGAGGGATGCCACCCGAGAGCGAATTGCCGCTTAAGTCGAGATCTCCGAGCCGGATCATGCTCGCAAACATATCCGGGACCGGCCCCTCGAGCTTGTTTGACGAGAGAGAAAAGTTTACCACGCTGCGCAGGCCGGCAAAGGAGCTCGGGATGGATCCCACGAACTGGTTGGCCGACAGATCCAAAAACTGGAGAGCATGGAGCTCGCCCAGATCCTCTGGAAGCTTTCCACCCAGAGAATTGTTGCCGAGAAGCAGCGACGTGAGCCTGGACAGCCTGCCGATCGTTCCAGGAGAGATTTCCCCCTGGAGCTGGAGATCGCCCAGTGCCAAACCAGTGACGCTGCCATTGGAGCACACTACCCCGTGCCACTGCGAGGGGCAGCCCGACGGATCCACCCTGTTGGCAACCCAGCTGCTCCTGATCAGCCCCCCTGGATCGCCAGTGACCCCATCCCGAAATTTCAGCAGCGCCGAGGCATCGTCCGCCAAGGAATCCGCCCGCCAGGAGCTCGACAAGACGAGAATTCCCACGACGAGCACCAGCATTATCCTTCCCATCGCCCCGAGCTGCTGCCTTCCAGCCAGATTTTCACCTCATCTTCTCCCAGCTCCAGAAATCATGAGCCCACAACACTGGAGAAAATGGGGCCCCTGGGCGTGCGCCGGGGCCCCATCCGCTTGAATCTAGTGCCCGCTCCTCATTGCCGATCGAAGAACACACCCCCAGCTCGGGAATTTCGGCGGATTCTAAGCCGAATCGCGACCTACATTGCATCCTAGATCCAAGCCAGCTCCACAATCCATACCGGGGAGGAAGAACAGCGGCACCTCCTCGCGCGCCACGGCTCCAGCCCTAACCCTCCCAGAGCTTCGAAGCCGGGAATATTCGTTGCCACTGTTGGAATATGCTCTGAAAGCGACCAATCCCTTTGGAGGTTGGAGCGCATTTCTTTCTTAACAGCTAGATGGCAACTGAGGATGTTGATGTGCTTATTCTTTTTACGATGCTATTCTCGCGAGTTCATTCAATGCATCGCATGATAGATGGAACGATAGAAATTTGTTTAGATTGGTCGTGGTAGTTTTCTTTGGAAGAATTTGACGATCACGATGTTCTTCCTGTTCTTCACTTGGAGGCGTGATGGCACGGTGCAAATTATATCACGCAGAAGTAGAGGTCGATCTATATATAACTTTCGTTTAGATTTCTCTTCTCGTATGTGCTGTCACTGGAGTGAGTGATGAGTAATTGGTTCCTGTAACGTTTTGAGAGATCTCTCTCCAAAATGCTTTCGCTCGCCAGTAAGTTGGTAAAATGTGCTGAGAGTTTGGAAGAACCTTGCCTTAGATCACCAGATCGGCTGCTGGTGCTGGGGCGGAGGCAGCCACGATTCCATCTCTTCCTTGTGTATCATCCTGTTGTAGGTTTGAGTCTCTGCGTTCCAGCTGCAAATCGGGCACTCGTCACTCGGGGCACCCTGGAGGATCTGGCACAAACATCCCAAAGTTACTCGAGAGTTTCGAGGGAAAAAGTCAAGAGATAATAAACGAACCCTGAGAACACACTGCTCGCAAAACGCATGGTTGCATTCCAGGCGAATGGGATCCACGACGAGACCTGTAAAGTGAAAAACAAAAAGTGAAACGTTGGGACCGGTAATAAAGCGGAGTAACTTTTTACACTTACGAAAGCAGATGCAGCAGTTGCCAGAAGCGTCGTACTGTCCATTCGCAATCAACGATGAATTCGGAGGCAATCCCAAACTGTTTCGAAGCTGAGATTCCAGGAAACGTTTCTTCATCACTTCTGGATCGCTGTCAAAAGAACCATCTGATCTGAGTAAACGTTCACAGTACATATAAATGCTTGTACCAGTCACGGGTATAATCGAGAGGAAAGTCCGGTGAGAGCGGTTTAGTCATGTATCCCCCTCCTAAACACACAAGAACAAAAATATTACGAACTAACACCAGAAAGAAGCTGCCAATCAAACCTCGAGGGAACACTTTGAGCTCTCGCAGTGGTACCGCCAAGTCCGGATCATTAAAGAACTGCTTCGTAGTATTCTCGGGTGAAAGTAGATCGGAAACGGCTTGCGCCTCCAATTTGGCACGAGTTTTGGCTCGGACTTCGGCCATTAGCATCTCAAGCTTCTTCATAGCCTTTTTTTCTTCCTCGAGTCTCCGATCCGCATCACTGCCTATAATGCTCGGAGCTGGATCACAGAGTGCACGGTCACATATCAGTCCTTGAGCCGAAGAAAACAAATACTTAACGTTTAGCTTCGTCCTTGGCTGGATGAAGCAGTTTCTCCATCTGCTTCCTGTGAAGTCAAGTTTCATTAGCTTCGAGCTGGAGAAGAGACAATTTCAACTGGAGAATTTACGTACTTGTTCATAGGCTTGGATTTCTCGCGGTATGGTTTGACGAGCACCCGCGCACCACAGACATGGTGAGGATTTCCTTCGGCCAGAATCATCCTCACCGTCTCAGCGTACGTGAACGTCACAAACCCAAACATTCGCTTGTGCTGGGTTGGAATTCTCACGTCTTCCACGGGACCGTAAGCTCTGCACAGTAAAGTTTCGTATCGCTCCTCTTGTAGCGAAGGAATTAAACACAACGTACCGGAAGTGTGTCGCGACGTCCTCCTCGGAGAAATTGCTATCGCATGGAAACGTGAGATAGATTTGTCTGGAGCAAGGGCTTGGATCGTTACATTCGTCCAGATCCACCTTGTGAGCGCTGTATTTTGGAACATCCTCCGCGAGCATGAGAGCGTGCTGCCGATGGGGCCTGGGAAAGGAAAGAAAGAAGTGATAGAGACTGACGCTCGCAAAGGAGGAAGAAGAAAATGCCCCAAGCAAACAAGAAATTGCGAAGAATCGAGGACTGGATGAAAACTAAGCTACGATTAGAGAAAGAAGCATACCTAGCAACAATGGCGCTAACAAGAAATGCGAAGAATCGAGAAGGAATGGATGAAAACTGTGAAAACTAAGCTACGATCGAAGAAAGAAGCATACCTCTCGACGACGGTGACGCTCTGGAACTTGCTAAGAAGCTTTGTGAGGGTGTAGCCCGGCTTCGCGTGGCGCTGGCTCTCGGAGACATAGCCATCGGCTTCCAGCCAGCGGCCATACTTCTCGAAGTAAATCTGCGGCAGCGAGGAGACGGAGATGGGAACGCCTTTGCGCGAGCGCAAGAGCTCCTGGAGCTGGAATTCCAGGCGCTCCATCGACAAGAACTGATCTTTCGGCGGGGAATCCGACTGGAGCAGCGCGGAATCGTGGATGAAGCGGCAGCTGCTCCCGTTCTTGCAAAATCCCTTGGCAAAATACATGCATGGCTTGGGGGGATCCTCGTCGGGCGCCGGAACCGCGATCTTGGCTGGAGCTTTGCTTCTGAAACCATTGGCCTTGGTAGCCGATGATCCACCGAACTCGCCGATGCCACCGATCGTTGCCAGATGATTCTCGTTGCAGAAGAGCTCCTTCTTGGCCTTGGCGACGGTCGATTTGAGCTCCGGATCCGTGCTAAAGGCGAGGCTAAACATATCCGAGTTCTTGAGCAGCAGATACCCCATCACTCGATTCACATTCTCCGCATCGATCGCCTTGACCCTGGCGAACACGATCTGAGCCGCCTCGCACGAATCCATCGCTCGATCGCTGGAGGAGAGGAGCACGCGCCGCTGCTACTGCGATGGCGCCGTCGATCAATCCGCTCCTGGAGCTCGAGCCTCGAAATATTTCGATCGATCGATCGAAATAATCACCCCTCCTTCCTATCACTCCGCAAGAACAAGAACGATCGCTCTGACAAAGCTGCGCGTACAGACATAATGAAACGAGGTCGTGCGTAGCGTGTTAACAAAACCACCGCTACCTCTAGATTTGGCGGGACTTTTAAAACTACTAAAATAACCTAATATTCAAATAAATAATAGGAAAGAAGAATGCAAACAGCGTGCCTACAAAACTGCTAACTAGAAGATCCACAACAAAAAAGAAAACTCCGACAAAACGAGGACGTCCAAATAGTTGTACGGTGAAATAACTCGGTGGTACGGCATTAGAACTTCTCCCTCTTTACTTCTTCTTGGCGGCCGCCTTGGTCACCTTGGCACCGGTGGGTTCCTTCTTCTCCACGGCCTTGATCACTCCCACTGCCACCGTCTGCCTCATGTCACGCACCGCAAAGCGTCCCAATGGAGGATACTCCGCGAACGTCTCCACAACCATGGGCTTCGTCGGCAGCATCTTCACGAACCCAGCGTCACCGTTCTTCAGGAACTTCGGTTCCTGCTCCAGCTCCTTTCCGGATCGCCTGTCCACCTTGGTCAGGAGCTCGGCGAACTTGACAGCGATGTGAGAGGTGTGGCAGTCGAGCACCGGGGTGTAGCCGTTTCCAATCTGTCCGGGGTGGTTCATGATGATCACCTGGGCAGTGAAGCTGGCAGCCTCCTTGGCCGGATCGTTCTTCGAGTCGGACGCCACGAAACCACGCTTGAGATCCTTCACCGCGACGTTCTTCACGTTGAACCCGACGTTGTCACCGGGAAGTGCCTCCACAAGGGACTCGTGGTGCATCTCCACGGACTTCACCTCAGTCGTCAGTCCGGTTGGGCCGAAAGTCACCACCATACCGGGCTTGAGGACTCCGGTCTCCACTCGTCCCACGGGGACGGTTCCAATTCCTCCGATCTTGTAAACGTCCTGGAGTGGGAGGCGGAGGGGCTTGTCTGATGGCCTCTTGGGCTCGGTCACCTGGTCCAACGCCTCGAGAAGAGTCGGGCCCTTGTACCAGTCGAGGTTGGTCGACCTCTCGATCATGTTGTCACCCTCGAAACCGGAAATGGGAACGAAGGGGATCTTGTCAGGGTTGTAGCCGACCTTCTTGAGGTAGGACGACACCTCCTTGACGATTTCTTCGTACCTCGCCTTGGAGTACTTGGGGGTGGTAGCGTCCATCTAAGCAACACAGAAAAATCCATGAGACATACCCAGCTATGAATATAAAACCATACCTTGTTACAGCAGCAGATCATCTGCCTCACTCCAAGAGTAAAAGCGAGAAGAGCGTGCTCACGGGTCTGACCGTCTTTGGAGATACCAGCCTCAAAACCTCCAGTGGTGGAATCGATGATGAGAACAGCGCAGTCAGCCTTTCACAAACACAAATAGAAAAATTAGCACACAAAACCAACAGTGTGGAAACTCACCTGGGAAGTTCCCGTGATCATGTTCTTGATGAAATCACGGTGACCGGGAGCGTCGATGACGGTGCAGTAGTACCTGTTGGTCTCGAACTTCCACAGCGCAATATCGATGGTGATTCCACGCTCGCGCTCGGCCTTGAGTTTGTCCAGCACCCAGGCGTACTTGAACGACCGCTTGTTCATCTCGGCCGCCTCCTTCTCGAACCTCTCAATCGTTCGCTTGTCGATTCCTCCCAGCTTGTAGATGAGATGCCCCGTGGTAGTGGACTTGCCGGAGTCGACATGTCCAATGACCACGATGTTGATGTGAGCCTTCTCCTTCCCCATGATTCTGGCCAAACAAGAGCTAAATCCGCGTGAGAGAGCACTCCCAGAATAGCGAGGAGCCGAAATCTTACCGCAATGCGCAAGCCGGCTCGCGAAGCCGCTGAAGAACCCTACACTTCTAAAAACCCTAGCATGCCGCCACGGTATTAGGGCCGAGCCCACCACCGTCGGATCGGAATCCAACGGACGATACGCGTCCTAGGTTTCTTTTCGTACACGGAAATGTCCGTACGCAAATATTCGCGTCCGTACTTAGAACCGTCGTAGTACGGAAATTAGCGTACGTACTAGACCATGTTGGTACGAAACAAGTGTTTCTCACGAAAGTATGAATTGTTCTCTCACGAAGTTTGCCTGGAGATGTGCGTTGGCCAGAACGTAGTCAGAGAGAACTTGATGGCGGCGTCGCGGTTGAAAGGATGGTAGCACGGGCCAAGCCGGACGCGATAGAACGGGCCATAGACCTCGCCATCCAGCACCACGTCGAAGGCTTTGCCGGGCTCCCCAGCCTCCACGACCAGCTTCCTCGTCCGGAACGTACACATATCGCCCATGAGCTCCTCCAGCGCTCGCAGCCTCCTCCTCTTGGAGTCCGCGGCCTGGAGCACGCAAACGTTGAGCACCTCGTCGCTCGGGTTACACTCGAGGCGCCTCTCCGCCGGCTTTGGAACGTTGATCGCCATGAGCGCTACCAGCGAGAGTGGGATGTTCCGCTCGCCTCTCTCGGACCCGTCCAAGCCGGCTGGCCGGTATCTAAGTCGGGCTTTGAGTGTGTAGCTCGAGACGAGGTCCTCGAGCCGGTCGGCGTCCTCCAAGTGGTCTTTGGCTGGGCTGCGGGGAACGCACTGCTGGTGGAGCACCTTCTTGTGGGACTCGGACGAGACTGCCACTGCTGGAACTCCAATCTCAGCTCGCGTGCAAAATGGTATCGTGGTGAGGAACTTGTTGCCTTTGTCGTCCCTGTACCAGGCCTCGCAGTTGAAGACCGTGAGCTTTAGAACGCAGCCAGCTTCCAGGACGTAGTTTTCGATCTGTCGAGTGAGCATCGAGCTTGGAAGCGCTTCCGACCTGTGAACTAAGTTGCTGCTACTGCTGCTTTTCTCTGGAAGTTGAGCCAGAAATTTGTGCTCGCTTTCAGAGACATGAGGAACGACTGGAAGCTTGCTCTTTATGGCTCTGTAGATCATAGCATCGTACCACAAGTCGCGCTGAGCAATGTACGTTGCCAAGAGGTTGGATCTCCCGGCAGGCAGGATGCAAAAGAGAACGTCGAGCATCTGTGCCGAGCTGCTTGTTTGCTGTCCTCCTGCTAGAACACCTGCTACTACCAAGTTGACGTATCCAAGAAGCGTGGAGTGTATGGTTCCGTCGCCACCTCCGACTAGAATTCTCACGACCTCTGAGGTGCTTCTGACTGACTGCAAAGACTTTCCTTTGCTGCCGAAGGGACTTGTATCCAAAGCTTCTCTGATTGCTATTTCCACTGCTGATCGAGAATACTGCGCTGGCATTGGACCTGGTGCATCGGACGTCTCGTGTACTTCGAGAGGATTAGGCCTCCATTTTGGCTCAGTATGTAATATGAAAAACTCGAGAGGGAGAAGCCTGAGAAAAAAACAACAGCACAAAACAGGATTATTTGAGAGAGATTGAAAATGTTAAGTTTTACCTGGCGGCTGTAAAATCGCCAACTTCTTCTTTCCAGCTCATAGTCGCTGCGGAGATCTGTCCCGATTTACAGGCTTGAACGATTTCATTCCACGCATCCGCCATCGTCTGCCTTCTGTGCTTTACTGCGTTCTCTACTTCCATTTGGCTGGCTTCTTCTTGAACTTCTATAAGCCGGTCATGAAGCGTTGATATCGTAGAAACCGGCAGCTTGCACACCATCTCCTTGACGTGAACACCAGAAGTTTTCAGCATCTGGCACGCTTGAAGAACTTTCAAGAAGTGCAGCCTAGCAGCGTCATCCTCCGAACTTAGAGTTTCTGCTCTCTTGCAGTCCACCAAGCTCTGCAGGGCGAAGCTTCTAGCGCTTTGAGGATTGAGAAGCAGATAAATACGGCCCCTTGACTCAGTATTCGAGCGGCTCCCTCCAGACTGCGAGGAGAGTCGGATGTCATTTAACAAGCACCGTTTGTTCATGGCATGACCTGCAACACGCTTTTTGAATTTGACAAAAAAAACTATCCAGGAAACCAAAAACTTACCAGGAGCTTTCTTTTCCAGAAAAATGCTATTCAGCGTTTGTAAGGCATGGTATCCCACTGGATATGACCAGAACGTGAAACACTGGACGACGTCTTCCAGCTTCTTCAGCGGCTCTTCAGGAACCAGCGTCTGTCAGCACTGCTATATAAAAACGATAAATCTCAAAAACGTAAAGCGCAAAAACTAGATGCAAGCAGACCAACGATGAGAAAGAGTTGACGAACCAGAGACAGTACTTGGCGGAGCACAAACAGTAAGCACAAGACTTGAAGCTCGTGAGCAGGGGTCACTATAGTGGTCTTGTCAATTGCAATTATTTCCAGGCACTTAAACAAGGCTTTATGCAACTTTTTAGCGCGGCCATGCAATGCATGATCTTGCAACCACAGGTAAATCCATCCGGAAGCTGTGCTGTGCAAGGCTTTCAGAAAAAACTTGGCAGGAAAAAAAAAAGAAAAAGAGCTTACCAATCAAGCTGTTGTCGGAAGCACACATGCTACTTGACATAAAAGCAGCACACAAAGCAAGTATTGTAGAAATACTTTTCGTGCGGCTCGTTTTCAGCAACTTCAATATGTGTGTAACCTGGACAAAGAGAAAAAAAAAACATTGAGATAAAAAACCTCGACCTCTAAACTCACTGTGTGTCTCCAGCTTTCTGCCGCGCTCTTCAAATGCTCGGGAACATAATCTATCGCTTCGACGATCCCCGGCTTTTCAAAATCAACATCCTGGAACAAAGCTAGCAGTAGAGCTGTGTTTAACAAAGCAGCCATTCCGTTGTCTTTGATCTCTGAAAAAAAAAAACAGAAGAAGTGACACACAGTCAAAAGAAAAAAAAAAAGTGAAACAATGAGACAATCGAAGTCTCTTACTGACCGAAAGATGGTGGTCTTTGAGGCGGCGTTTTAAACGATCTTGTGAGCTGAGGAGAGCCAGGAGAGACTAACTTTCCCTCACTTGTGCGATACTGTAGGCCATACGTCCACGATCTTCGCGAAGTACGCCTCTTTCCAATGCGTTGGCCATCACCAGCCCTTTCATCCGGCTCCAGCTCGGCGACCCTTTTGAAGAGAGCTTCCAGATAGTCTGTGGCGGCATTGGGCTGGCTCAGTGCTTTCCAGAACGCAAAATACCTATGCTCCGTCACGAGAGGAAGAGGCGGCCTCTCAGATCTTCCCCAGTGAAACAAACCCTTGTGATGATCTGCACTGGCGAGAGAGGAAATTCGAGAAATCCACGAGCAAAAGAAAAGAACCTTTATCATCCGTGACGAGCTTGAGAATGGCGTCTACTTCGCCGCCGCCGAGAGCGTGATGCGAGTGCTCGTGCCCCAGAATCTTTGCAAATGCCTGAAAGCTGTCATGAAAACTCCGCCATGGAATGGACGCCATAGCCTACCTTCGCCATTTTGGCGCGAGCTCGAATTTGAAAATTTAGGGCAAGAGAAATAAGAACGTGGTCGTTTTATTTGAGCCACATGGCCCAGACAAATGGGATCCAAGGACACAACCATTATTTACCGTACAGTGTGTGATCCTTGTTCTTAAGATCACTCAACTATATCATATCGTGCTCGGACGAATGCGTTGAAGCGCTTGAGAAAAACTCGAGAGAGCCTCGCCGGCTGAGAATCAAAGCCAAGAGCAACGCGATGAGAATGATCCACAGAATCACAACAGTCCTCCAGCCTGAAAGAACAGAAAAAAAGAGATGATCCCATAATCGAAGAGCTAGAAGAACAAGAGCAGACCTTGTGGTGTTTGACAAGGTGTTACGCGAGCACTCGAGTCTCCAGAAACCGAGAGTAAAGCCCTGAGAAGAAGAAAACTTGATAGAAAGAAAGCAAAAACAAGAGGGATACCTGTTATCGGGAGAGAAATCCAATGCCGTGACGAAGACCATATGTGCACGCTTGATCCGCTGTAGAACGCTCAGCTTGCTCGCGCTCAGGATAAACACCTCACCTTCGGAGCTTCCACTGCAAAAGAAAACAGGAACAAAAACATTAGCAGTACTGAAGAAGCTTGAAACAACGTTACATTGCCAAGAGCTTCCCGTCGGGACTGATCGTCAGAGCTGATATGGGTTCATTCGCTAGTTTCCTCGATCCAACTTTTTTCCACTTCGTATTCCAGGTTGTTATGTAGCCTTTGAAATCTGCCCTGAACAGAAATTCGAGCTCTATCAACCAGAGAGCAACGAGGAAACAAGAAAAGCTTATGAAAGAGAAAAGCCACCTTCAGCTGAAGTAACGTAAAGGCAAGGCCTCGCTCCGTCTCTGGAGAAGCAGCAGAATCCAGCTTTGTTTAGAGGAAGCGCAGCAGCAGGAGATGCCGTTTTCAAATCCCAGATGCGGGAGGGACCAACGTCATCGGTAGCTGCTAAAAACGAGCCATCCAAGCTGAAACACAAAACACAGAGAAAAAGAGTTAAGCAGCTACAAATACAATCGACCAAAACCTTACCTGAAATCCAAGTCCTTGATCGATCGGTGCGCGTCAGATCTATCAAGAACAACTTCCAGAGACGGCCACTTGAGAACTTTTAAGTGTCCATCCTGTACAAGTTCGACTTAGAATCCTTCAGTTAAAAGCTTAGCAGCTTCTTACCTGACCCCCCACCGCAAGCAATTTCCCATCGGCACTAAACTTCACGGTTCGCTGCTCGCCTAGATCTTGCAATGGCTTCAGCTCCCGCTCGACATTTTCTAATCGCAAGTTCTTTCCACCAGTCAGCCTCAGAAGCCTCAATTTTCCATTATGCCTTTAAAGGAGAAAAACGTGAATTAAGCTCAGTAGCAAGGAAAAACTCCAGGAAACGCTAAGAACTTTCTAAGAACTAAACGAAGAAGAGCGAGCAAAGTACCTCTCGGTCGCTGGAAACGTGCAGATAAACTCCTTGCGATTGGGATGCATAGCCATGGCGCAGGCCGTATCATCGTCCGTGAAGAGCGTATCGAGCTACACAGACGAAGCAAAGAGCTAAGAGAAAATGCCACAAATTTTGGATCGATCTGAGGAGCTACTAACCGGCTCACTGAGCTCTCTGGAATCGGCATCGTATCGAGCGAGAACCAGAGTGTTGCGCAAGCCAGAGGACGAATCTCCACCTCCGCCGCCGCAGATCGCATACGAGATCCCATGCGCGACGGATGCATCTGTGCTGTCGGCGCTCGCCCAGGCCGCGCAGAAGAGCGGCGTACCAAATTTCCTCGCCTTGTTGCTCGTGGAAGCCATCGCTACGAAGAACCCTAGCCCTAAAACCTTGTTTATTTTTTTATTTTGTTTGCAGCGTGTCGTCGTGTCGTCTATGGCGCTCGATGGCGGCACTGTGCCATCGATCATGGAGCGACATTTTGGTTGGCTAGATCGATATTTCACATTGTTCTTGCGATCCAGAGATATCAATTGTGTTCGCGAGAATGCTGCTCAGCGCATTGGACATGGACACGAAAACGATTTTTTTCGCGAATTCCTGGTTTTGTATGTAGCCCTTTCCCTTTCCTCCACTGATCGTCGCAATGTGTCTCAGTTTTTCACTGGATTCATGACTGATTTCTTACTTGCTTGTCATCAGACGAAAGGAACGACTTCTTCCAAACGAAAACTGTTGATCGATGAATGAGTCCTGAAAGATCATCCAGAAAGAAGACCATCTTAAGCAAGAATTTCCACGGCAGAGTCGCACTTACCAGAAAGCTTAGAAGAATTGCAAATCATATTTTCCACGAGTTCTTCACTGGCGCATTGATCGAAAAATGGTCGAATCAAGGATGACCACTATCTTCTTCTTCGAATACCATCATCTCCAGGAAAGCTGCAATCACTTCCACTGTAGAATACTCTTCAAACACATAGCATGAAGATCCACAAGGAAACATTGGGGGATCTGCATGTTCATAGGTGTCGTTCTTTTTTCTTTTTACAAAAGCGTGAAACAGGAATCAGTGCGTTCTTCACAAGATGGTCATCCTTGATTCCCTAGCGGCCATTTTAGATCAATGCCCCCACAAAGAACTCGTGGAAGATATGACTTGCAATTCCTTTTTAAGTGTTCTGGTAAGTGGGACTTAGTGGAGTTCTTTGTTAAAATGTCTTCTTGCTAGATGACTTCCAGGAATTCATTCATCAATCAATAGTGCCAAAACCTTTGTTATCAATTTCACTTAAAAGTCATTCCTCTGAAGTAAGCTAACATCAGGTTTTCTTGCTATTTCTTTTACAAAAGCGTCCTTCTCCGGGATGAAACAGCAATCAGTGCGTTCTTCTGTCCATGGTTACGAACAAGAGACAAGTAAGCAATCAATCTCTAGAAGGTTCTATATTCCTTGCTCAGGAATTTCCTTTTCAAAATCATAGGTACCGTTCAACTTCTGAAAAACTGAAAGGCCGGTGTCATGTACATCACAAAGCCCTCCACGATTCCATGGCCATGCACGACTGGCCAGCAACCACTTGTTCCAAATTAGAAGCTGCCACGGCAGCACCAGGGCTACGATTGGGGATTTTAAGCTTCGAAGCTTGAAAGTTTTCGCGGAGTTTGGATCACTTCATGGCCAACGTGAGCAGTATCGTAGATGGTTTGCGGCGGAGCGAACGCAAACAAATTCCCTTCTATCTGCTCTACGATCACAGGGGCTCGGAGCTCTACAAGAAGATCACGGAGCTGAAGAGCTACTACCCTTTCGAGGCTGAGAAGGCTTTGTTCCAGAAGCATGCACTCGACATTGCTGGACAGATTGCCCCCGGCAGCCTGATTGTCGAATTGGGATGTGGTGTTGCTGACAAGACCGCTCTTCTCCTCAATGCGATCCTCTCCAAGCATCAGAGGTTTGAGTTTTCTTTGTTTTCTTTGTAACGTTCCTATCTTTTTCTTCTTGCTGTTCTTGATCGTCCTTGGCCTTTGTGCTTGCTTCTCCAGGTGCCATTACGTTGGTATCGATGTCTCCCGGGCTGCGCTGGACGAGGCCGAGACTTCAATGGAAAAGAGCGATGATCTCGAGCTGGAGCTTGTTCATGCCGATTACTTGGAAGGGCTGGAGATGGTTCGAAAGAAGTATCCAGACAGACTCATTTGCATCCTCTGGCTTGGAAGTAGCATCGGGAACCTCTCGCAATCCGAAAGCGGCGACTTCGTTGGTCGAATGCTCAAGATAGTTGGGTTCCGGTGCCAGTTTTTTCTCTGCGTCGGTGAGTACTTCTCTCTCTTCTCTAATTTGATCACGGTACGTTTCCTCCATTTGTCCAGACCTGTGGAAAGATGAGGCCACTCTGCGAGCAGCTTACGAGGATAAGCAAGGCGTTACTGGAAGTTTTATAAAAAATGGCATGAAGCACGGGCTGGAGCTTCTCGGGCATTCCGTATCTGACGACGAGGTTCACGAAGATTGGGAATATGAGGTACAGATCAATAGCATGTCCCGGCAAGTTGAGATGTACGTTCGTTTTCTCCGATCACTCTGCCTAGTCGATCACGACATCGAAATAAGGTTCGCAACTCGACACTCGCTAAGTTGACATGTGTCGTCGGTTCTTTTTCCATATTTGTTTTCTTCCTGGCAGTAAAAACGAGAGAGTCCTCGTCGAGATCTCGAGAAAGTTTACAGTAGAGGACGTATTACAGCTCGTCAGTCAGCTCGGCTTTGTTTGCCACGCCAGGTGGACGTCGAAAAGCTATGGCTGCTTTATGATGCTTTCTTGTGAGGAGGCCGCAATCAGGTGTTGGACGGACACAGACAAGCTTTTCAAAGGCGTCGGTGATTGGATGTCCCAACCGATCCCATATCGTCACCCATATTGTTTCTACTAGTAAGTGGCGAGTCGTGAATGATTTGTGGTTGACAAATACTTTTGGTGTTGCAGTGGCCACGTAACAGCTTTCACCATTATCAAGCTGCTCAAGGACGAGTCGGACACGGGTCTCAACCGTGTCTTCTCGCGCGGAATAGATCCTTTCATGTTGGACCCCAGCCGCTGTCATAAGCATCCAGAAACTCCAGCCCAGTGGCCAGACAAGGAGACGCTCAGAAAATATACCATGGATGGCCGAGCCCGAGTCCTGGAGTACCTGAGAGACGGCAACCCGGACATGCGACGCCTCTGCCTCGTCCTCGAGCACGAGCGAATGCATCAGGAAACCATGGCCTACATGCTAGCCCAGGAACGCAAGCTCCAGTTCGAAGCTCCTGTTCTCACTTCTCCTCACGAGCTCGGGCTCGCGGACGGGAACGGGACTTCAAAGCCGGCAGCTACCGACGTCTTCTTCACCAGAGGCACCGTTGTGCTGGGAAGTGATCCAATTCCCAGTGTCTTCCGCTTCGACAACGAGGAGCCGTCTTACAAGACTCAAGTGGAGCACGACTTCTGCATCAGTTCCATGCCAGTTTCGATCGGGGAGTTTATGGTCTTCGTCCAGGACGGGTGCTACAACAAGAGAGAACTCTGGCAGGAAGACGATTTTACGTTCCTGGAGAGGAGTGGTCACAAGTTTCCTGCAACGTGGTCCTGCTCCCAGGGGGACTATTACGTACACTTTCCAGACAAGACGCTCTCCTGGATCGAAGCTCGTCACCAGCCTGTTTACGTGAGCCTGATGGAGGCCGAGGCTTTTTCCAAGTGGATGTGTTCCAGAGTGATGACCGAGGTTGAGTATCAGCGAGTTTTGGACGAGGAGTTTGCGAGGGAGGAGCAGAGGGTGAAGCATTTGAAGGATGGAGGATGGGAGTGGACGAGTTCGCTACTAGCACCGTTTGAAGGGTTCACGAGCATGGAAGAGTACCCGGAGTATTCGACGGACTTCTTTGACGGCTTGCACTACGTCCTCAAGGGGTCATCTCCAGCAACACATGTCTCACTGCTGCGGGATTCCTTCCGAAATTTTTATCAGCGGCAGTACCCGTATGCTTTTGCCAAATTTCGGCTGTGCAAATCGTCACAGTGATTCCTCCTATAAAATTACTCCTATAAAATAAAGGAAGAAGTTTTCCTGTTTATATTTTATTTTTTATGCAAAAAACAAAATAAAATAAAATATTTTAGAATCACGAAACTTTAAAAACTTTTACAATATTATTTTAACTTTTACATTGAAAACCTTTATTAGATGTTAGATAAATAACAAAATGTTAACTTCCTTTTCTCGTAATTGTATAAGTAACATTGTGAATGCATAAAATATGAAAATAGAATATAGAAATAAAACTTTAACCTATATATAAAAGTGAGTGGTACGGATTAAAACCAATCCAACTGCTCTACACTAATATTAATATATAGCATCATAGCTGTACAATGTAAAATAAAAAAATGTAACTTTTAATATAATTTAATAGCAATATATTTGTGATAGTTTTTTTCAGCCAAGCTACCCGACTATCCAATTCACTGCTTTGTCAACAAAATGAACAGGTCTTGGCAAGCAAGGTCACCACCATAAACGTAGTGTGTTTCGTGTCCCTTGCCATAACTCAAATCCAAATAGCACCTCAAGAGAAACTCCGAACTCCATCAATCTTCCAGCCAGACGAGCTTCGGCACCCTGCAGTGTGAACTTGTTGGGGATTGACGTAATCATCGTGGCTGAGCCTCTTCAAGTCTTCCCAGTCCCGGAGGAACTTCCACAAGCCTTTGTCACACTTTTAAACTTCGTTACCAACCAAAAAAATGAGGACTCTATGAACAAACCGCTATGAACAAAAAACAAACGACGCAACGAACCGCCACTCAAACCCACCTTTTCGACAGCTTCCCAACACCAGCGCCATTTTGGATCAGAATCCCCGACTGTCGAATAGAGCTCGGCTTGGAACCTGCCAACTCCAAAGACACGAAAACGATTACCAATGCAGCTAAGTACAAACATGGAAAAGCTTACCTCGCTTCGCAAGTTCCTCCGAAGCCACCGCCGCCAGCGGAATATCCGACAATCTCCGTAATCCAGCCATTGACACTGCGCTGGGGAGCTTCTTCTCACTTCGTGGAGGCCGAGGTATTTGAGACAATGAGCTACAAAAAAAGAGAAAGCAGTGTTGCCAAAGATCAAAACAAGCTACTGTAAGGCTCACCGTAGCTCGTTGGCATTGAGACCTGGCCTTGAGCTGTTTGTTGCTGCTCTCATGGTCTGAGATTGGTCGCTGGCCACCGTGAAAGAATCCTGGGACGCCTCTCCTTCAGACAAGTCCTCGTAGTTATTCTCCATAGCTGGCCAGTCCCCCGGTACGTTGTTCTCAAAAACTACGAAGGCGTCGCCGTCCACGGACCTGCGAGGCGTTTCCGGCAAAGTAACATCCGGTATATCTTCGGCAGCAGTTTCATCTTGACTCGGAGCACGACCAGCCTGTCAAAAGTAGATTAAGGATGGCAGCCACTCCCAGCTTCAATTACCTCCATACTGCGCAATTCGACAGATCTCCTACTCCGGGCATCAATGGAGCGAGTGGACTGAGACACTCTCAGTTTCTGTTTTTCCACCTCCATGCTGCTACGAAGGACCCTCGAAGCTTGCAAGCGCTCTATTTCTGCATCCTTTTTGGCCAGTATCTCTTTCAAGGACATTATCTGAAAATATCAACCGTGAACCAAACTCTATTCATCTGGTTTGCCAAGAATGTACCTGCTCCTTGTATTCTCGAATTCCGCTCGCTTCTCTATTCGAACGTGCGGCACCAAGCTCAACACTTGACACCCTCTCTGCAAACTTCAATGTACTTATTGTCTCCCCGTATGAATCATTGTCCGGGTTTATATGGACAAACATCAGAGCTTTTGCTTGACCACCTGTTCACGTCGGATATACATATAGATATCAGCAACCATGAGAACCTTACCCAGAGAATGCTGAAGGAGTTGTGTTAGCTTGCTATTTCGGTAAGGGATGTGCGTCTGCTTTTGAGCCAAAGCTGCAATAACATCCCCTAAAGCCGATAAAGACTTGTTGATATGTTGCGCCTCCTTCAATCTGTCTCCAGTCGCCTCTGACTTCTCCACTCGCTCACTTCCCGCGAGATCAACTAAGTGGAGACAGCCACGAAGAATGCAGCCCTTTGCAAGATCTGTGCCTTGCACATGCACAGTCAGCACACTGCATAGAAAGAACCACGGGAAAGGTTATATTTCATTACAAAAACGAATAAAAACACTGACCTGTGAGATCGACTGCTGCGTTCATTAAGAGCTGTAGCTCCTACAGCACGGTTCCTCTGTCCGACAGCCATGATTTCTAGCACATCTGAGCTATTTGCAACGGGGATCATAACAGCATCAGGTACGTGGACGCCATTAAGTGACGAAGAGCTTCTTATGCCAAGTCTCTTGCTCACACCATCAGCAGCCAGGAGATCTCTCACTTGTTCATTGTAAATCTCAATCATTTGCACCCCAACTTCGTAGGCAAAAGCGTCCCTCCTGCTTTGACATAATTGAAAAAGATCGTTTAGTGCTCGGTAGTTAACCCCCCAATCTTGTTTTGCAGTTGAACTTGGCCCTGTCTGCATCAATAGACGTTAATACACAAATCCTAACGGAGCTCACAGCTTACCATAGTATATGTTTTTCCAGAACCAGTCTGTCCATACGCAAAAATACAGACGTTGAAACCATCAAGCACCGATCGAATCAAAGGCTGCGCATCCAGAAAAACCTCGTCTGCATGCACGTGTCATTGTGACTATTGGAGCAAAATATAGAACGTACCTTGTGGAGCTTGAGGGCCATAGACCTTGTTAAAATTAAACATCTTATAAGAGTCTTTTCCCTTTGTCGAATTTGCGACCATGATTTCCCCGTTTTGACCAACAAAATCAACGCAAGTCCCTTGATCTTTCTGACCAACAAGAAAAGGTCTAACTCGGCAGTAAACACGAATATTTCCTGCAGGTAAATGGTATTAGAAGAGAACTAATGGAGCACTGTATACCCTTCAAGTCCTGTACTTCATTATACAGCTTGCGATTCTCTGCAAGAACGTCGTGGTACGCTTGAGCGGCTTCTGTTAGTCCTGTTAACTCATTTTCTGAAAGGGAACTAATGTCAGAAACAAGAAAGATTTTAAAAACTCATTACCAAGTCTAATAAGCTGATCTTGCCAACATTTCTGCATTTCGAGCGTTCCTGTTCTGATAAGTCCAGAGGTATGCTTCAGATTCTGAAAACAGACGTAATCGGAAGATACAATCACCAGCTATTAATTTGACGTACCTGAAGTGCATTGGACTGGAAAGAGATTATTTGTTTGTACCGATCTTCGCGATTCTTGAACTCATTTCGTTCAAGAGACACACTGGCTTCAAAACTCCGCATCTGACTGAAAGAATCTTCAAGTTTCGCATCCATTTCCGAAAGCTTTCGCTTATATTCCTCCATTAACTTCTCATTTTCAATCTCCATTTCGTACTTCTTCCTCTGATCAGCTTTCATGACTTGAAGTTCATTTGTAAGAATCTCGATTGTGGTCTGCTTTTGATCTCTGTCCAGTACCAGCTTCTCGGTGTCACTTTCGTGTATCCGTTTCTCTTCCTCAAGTCTTTTGTTCTCCATCTGCGGAGCAAATTTGAGACGGTACGTAAAAGCTATACATAATTACCTTGGTTTGCTGCAATTGTTGAGTAACAAGCTGTCACAATAAACAACTCAGTAGGCTTGCACAGCAGTAAGCATATACAAACCTTTATTTCCTCGCCTGAACCTGCAGCTAATGCCTCCAGCACCTTAGCCCTCGATGACAGCTTACATTCTCGCGCCATCAGATCTTTGTGCAAAGATTTTAGCTACAAAAAATGATGGTTACTTAAACACTAAGAAAACTGCGGCTGTCTTACCTTCTTTACTTGCTCTCCCTGTAAACGAAGCCGCCGTTCAAATTCATCCGTCACCTTTTTTATCATATACTCGACGAGCTGAATGAACGAAGATTATCATCATGAAACGGACGTCAGCAGCTCTTTTAAACACTTACGACTGGGACTTCATCAGGTTGCTTGTCACTAATAATAGACTTAACCAGGCTCGGAAGTGACTGCACGGGTTGGCCCTGAATCGTAAAGTTTGTCAACGAGGGAAACAAAATGGCAGCGCATGAACCTTCAAATTAGGATTAGTATCCAGATCCGATGCCTGAATATCTTGCACTCTCTTCACTTGAAGAACTTCTCGGAACCTTTGGCCAATCTGTTGTAAACGAGCGGCAGTGGAATCTGTAAACAACGAATATATTAAATTCCAATAACCCAGAACGTTACTCACCTGGCGAAGCAAAGGCTGACATCAGATTTTCGGAGTCCAAGCCAGTATCATATCCTTGGTAGAAACCATTGAGTGAGGGAGATCTATCTCGGTGACCAATAGGAGAGCCTGCCTCGTATGCTACAGAAATATCAGTAGCCTCCGGTACATCTGCGCCAGGAATTGCCCAACGTTTCCTCGTATGGCTGCTTTTCGGTGTTATCGCAGGCTCGTACATGTCTTCCAGCCCCTTCACCGGACTCTTTGTACCAGAAAGCTTGTGAACACCATACTTCCAAGGACTAAATCCCTTGCCCTCTCTCTGGTCGTGATATGCCTTGAGCGCCAAAATGCAGTCCACCACTTTCGACAACGTCCCAGACGATAAACTACCCTGAAAGAATCCCCGATAGCACGTGACTAACAGGCATGCTTAAACAAACACACAAACAAAGAACGCACGATCACAAACCTCAGCTAAGTCGGATGCTTCAAAACTTGGTAGCCGGAGATCTTCCACAGCAACCAGAAAGTTTCTCACGTTTTCAAAATACTGATACGCTGACAGGGCAGCATCGGGTGGGCTGGATGGAGGAGGACTCTCCACAATCTGGCACGCGAAGCGTGTGTTAGCTAAACAATGTATAAGATCCACGCACGATATAAAATCACCTTTGGAATAATGCCCGGATGTATCTTATTGAGAAGGTTGCAAAGCACCATTCCATTCCTCAAGGAAAACTTGAGCTCTTCTTCGCTAGGCTCATTGGAAATGCCCAGCCCCCCAAGCATCTCGTGTAGCCATCGCGCAGCTAAGAATCGCCTATGCGCTGCGACAAACAAGAAAGAATGAGTCATGCATGAGAAGTCTATAGCACCAAACGTTCTTACCTGCCTCCTCCGCTCTGCGCGATGCCATATGGATGTCGCTCAATCCCTCTTCCATCGGATCCTCCACGAAGAAATCTCGCGACTGCTGTCTGGAAATCTCCCTTTCCGAAACCACATTTCCACTGCGAGGGGAAGCTCCGCCAAACAATCGCCTCTCCGGTGCCATGGCTGGAAACATCCGAGCTGATCACAGCATGCCCCGGTGTGTCCTTCGCCAAATCACGGCATACCTTGCAGCAGCTGGAATCCGTGGAAAAGCCGCCGGCCAATTCAACAGCGCTCCAGCGGATCCCTGTCCCGCGGATTCAAACCCTAGGAGACCGGCCGCTACGATCACACCACAATTGCCGCTCGACTCGTCGCCTGCTGAGAATGCACCTCCTTCCCCCTCGATCGACAGGCGCTAGGGCTTTTCCCGGCGCAACGGCAAACTTCTCCTCCCATGAAGAACTCAAACCATCATCGACAGTCCCTCTTCTTCGTTCTCGAGACAGGCTCGGTCCCGGACCAAGAGCGTACGGAGCCACTTTCTAGGTCTGGTAGATTTACTAGAACGTACGGCTCGTCTGCCGAACCTGCTAAGCGCCGCCCGTTGGCCGCTTTTAAATTTATGCCGCTATTTCGTCACGGGAATATTCGCCGAGAGAAAGTGGGAGATGCTCGTGAATTAAAAATCTCTTCATCTCACGAGAGTTCATTATAGATTCTCTGGCACTTCGCTGAGAGGATTTTCACCGCTTCTGTGAAGAGAACCTCGGGTGGAAGAGCTCCAGTCGATTCAACAGTGACTGGAGGAGCAGCAAAAACTTTGGCATCAGATCAAGCAGAAAAAAACGATCGCGTGACCAAAAACTTACAGATGAAATGATCTTTCACACGCCTGAGCTGAACTCGCTTCTCCCAATCGTCTCCTCGTATACACTCCCTACACAGCGTGCAGCTCCTCGGTGCCGCTACTCTGGCTCGTTTTCCTGGCAAGAAGAACATCAGCTAGAGACTAGAGACGAGCTTATAAAACAACACAAATACCTCCCATGATGTCCTCTATGTCAAACACTTTCATGGGACATTTCTGGACCAGCTCTTCCGCAAGTTCGTCTTCGATCTCTTCTAGCAAGACAACCTGTTAAAACACTTGTTAGAAAATTATGGTCGTGATCATGTAAGCAAGTAGCTGTATACCTCCGGAAGCATCCTGTACGCGGCTGTAGCAACGGGCGACCACTTCGCGTGCGTTTTCCCGATTCCTTTGACGGCGTGAGCTTCCAATTCAATAGCCTACGAAAGCATTGTCATCCAAAACTGAGAATAAAAAACACGCACGAAGCAAGAATACTTTACCTGACCTGGTCTAAGCTTTGCCAATAAAATGTCCTTGTACCTTGGAGCGATATCGTTTTGAATCGTATCCTGCCGGCAGCTAAACGATGTGTAAGTTTTGTTTGAGTCGTCAGTCATAGAATATAAGCTTCCTCCAGGAAGCCATTTGAGCTGGTCAGACTTTACTGCAACCGGAAATTAATCAATCACAGCGAGAGGAGATACGAAAGTAAAAAAAAACCTGAAGCATTGATCATGCGATCTCCCTGTCGCGTGCACTTCACTTCTAAGGAGAAAACAATAGTATTCTTCTCGGTCGCTACATCTTCGTCTGGAAAAATACTTTGCGTTACGAAGAAGAAAAGAGAAGCAAAAACGTACTAGTTTTCTCGTTGAAAAGTCTTGGATCGGCCTTGATGGGAACCAAACCCAGGCGATGAGCGAAGACCTCGTCTTGAATCACCGACGTGTTATCTTTGATGAGAACTTTCTCAATAGCCATGGTTGGAACCTACAAAAGAAGGAGAGAAAAAAAAAACAGTTCCACAGACTGTGCTCGAGAAAATATTAGAAGAGAGTATTTCTCTTACCTCCGCGATCAAAATCCTCCGAAAGGCATTCGCAAGCGCGGCATCGATTCCAATCATATCAAACTCGAGATCGTCCTCCGTCAGAGACTTGATCTCCACATGGAAGTTCCGCCGGAAATCGCCGAGCCGGAGGCTGTTGTCATAGTTGATCGAAGAATACGCCCCAGAGTACTGGACAGTCTCTGTCTATCGGTGGATCGATCGATCAATGCAAGAAAAATGGCTAAGCAAATCTGCCTAGAGAGAAGCAGCGACTTACATACGAAGGCGCATCCGAAGCGCAGATGACGCGAGTGCGCTGGAGCTCCAAATGCGCGGGCAGCCCTCCGCCTTCCCCCATTTGTGGGGTTTAGGGTTCTTCACAATACTCTGTTTTCTAGGGTTCTTGGGAAGCAAGGAGAAATGTCAGTGGCAGATCTTGCAGGATGCTCCATGCGAACAAGTCGGCATGGCAAGGGATGATTTGCGAGCAGCAAGAAGAAGAGATTGCGCGCTGCTTGATGCGCTGCCATGAATGGCTGGAAGGGTCCAAGGCTTCGGCAAGCAGCAGTGGGAAAGAAAGTACCAGCCACTGTGGCTCAAAGGAGGGGGTCACTCCAACTTGGAGCTCTATCCAGAGTATATCAAACACTTGCGCAAGTTTATCATGTCGCTTGAGAAAACCGGTGGAAGGAACCGAAAGTCGGAATCCGAAATCGAAGTATCCAAAAGAACGCTTCTCATACCTTGTCGATATCAAACCAGTATGTTCTCTTGACGGGATACATAACACGCAAGGATTTTTACCGCTTCTGTGAGGAGTGGAAGAGCTCCAGTTGAATCAACAGTGACTAGAGCAGCAAAACTTTTCGCATCAGATCGAGCCAGAAAAGAAAAACAAAACGCCAAAGACATACAGACCTTAGATCTTAGACCTTACAGACCTTCGAATGTAAACTTCCTCCAAGGAGCCATTTGAGCTGGTCAGAGTTTACTGGAATCGAAAAATTAGTCCGAGAGAAGATACGGAACCTGCATGCGATCTCCCTGTCGCTTGCATTTCACTTCGAAGGACAAAACAATAGTATTCTTCTCAGTCGCTACCGGAAAAGTCCTCTTTGGCCTTGTCGGGAACCAAACCGAGTCGATGAGCGCAGAGCTCGTCTTGAATCACCGACGTGTTCTCTTTGCAACTAAGAAGAAAAAAATTAGTCCTTCAGACACTGCTCCACACAGAAAAAAAAAAAGAAAGAAAGAAAGTCCGCGATCAAAATCTTCCGAAAAGCATTGGCAAGAGCGGCATCGATTCCAATCATATAGATCGCCCTCCGTCAGATATTTGATCTCCACACGGAAGTTCCGCCGGAAAGCGGCGACCCGGAGGCTGTTGTCATAGTTGATCGAAGATCGCTGAGAAATCTAACCCAAATTTCCCCAATTTTGTGGGGTTTAGGGTTCTTCTCTGTTCTGAATGGCGCGGTAGGCGAGCAGAAATGCCGGCGTCGCTTCATCCCCCATCGGCCGATTTCCAGTTTCAAATGCAGGCGTGCCATCGATCCGGCGCGCTATGCATGCTCCATGCGAACAAATCGGCATGGAGAGTTTCTTTCCGCAAAGAATGGGGCAGGGGACGATCTACAAGCAGCACGAAGAAGAGATTGCGCGTTGCTCGGTGCGCCGCCATGAGCGCTATCCAAGAATTCCAGCAGGATTTCGGGGTGGTGGGAGCGGTGGTGGCTGGAGCTTATCTCTGGGTCCAAGGCTTCGAGCTACTCACTAGATTCAATGTCCTAGACCAGGTAAAGAACAAGACGTCGTTCTCTTCTCGTCCTTCCTTTCTTTCATCTATTTGTTTGCTTCCTCCTCCTGTGTTCTAATTGCCTCTTTCTTTCAGCGCAGAAGCTTTCTCGCAAGCTCGTCCATATGACAACGGGTCCACTCTTCATGCTTTCGTGGCCCCTCTTCAGGTATCAACGAAAGAAAATCCTTTTCTTTCTCGAGAGCGCATCAAAGTTTTTCGGTTCTTGAGTCTCAAACCGGTTTGTTTACAGCTCTTCGTCGGCGTCCCGCTACATTTGTTCGCTAGTTCCACTGGCCAACGCTGTGCGTCTTCTAATCCTCGGCCTCGGTTTGAGAACAAACGAAGGGGTGGTGAAGTCGATGAGTAGAGATGGCGATGCCAAGTGAGTGGAGTATCATTTAAACAACACCAGAAGTTTTTCTTCTCTTGCTCATCGTTACTTGTTCTGCTTTTATAGAGAGCTTTTACGAGGTCCTTTATACTATGTAGCGGTGCTCTTCATAAGCACAGTGTGCTTCTGGCGTGACTCTCCCGTTGGAATGATAGCTCTGTCTGTGATGTGTGGCGGTGACGGTAAGTAAATCCATCCAAAAGCTTTCTTAGCCTGATTCTCGCGCTACAGGGATTGCTGACATAATAGGCAGGAAGTTCGGGCGTGAAAAGCTTCCATACAATGAGAAAAAAAGCTGGGCCGGAAGCACAGCAATGTTCGTCTGTGGAACAGCGCTCTCTTTCGCGTAAGTGTTTTTCGAAACGAAAGCTTGGCCTTTAGTGACTCTTCCATCGTTTCAGGTCGATCTATTACTTCACGTATCTGGGCTTTTATGCCTTGGATCCGCTCGATACTCTAGCTCGTGTCACATTCATCTCGCTAGCAGCAACACTTGTGGAATCGCTGCCAATCACGTCGTCTTTGGATGACAATCTCATGGTCCCAACGACGGTCATGCTGCTCGGCTCGATCTTATTCTGAAGTAAGACTCCACTTTCTCACATTTTATTTTAAGCAACGGTTAAAGCGAAATTTTGATGTTAAGCTTCCATGCAACTAGGCCACTCCTGGCCGTCAAGTCCACTGTCGGACCACTACGAAAGTGAAAACAAGTAAATGATAGCTGCGACCGTGCATGTCATGGGGCCCAGGAACACCAGAAAGTTATTAGCCATCTTCATGCTGTCCCTGTTTCTTCAACCTACAAACCTTCAGCTGAAAGAAATATCAAGGACGGTATGGTCATTAATGGGACCACAGACTTTGATGAAAAATACATTCATGAAAAGCCTTGATTCATGGAGGTCAATTGCATATGACCGGGTTTGCTTTTGTGATCTTGACTTGGTCCCAACTAGTTACGCTGCTCGTTTCCATCTCTTGACGAAATAAACAAGCCCTTCAAAAACATACCAAATGGACTTGCTGAAAATGCGACAAACGGAAATCAAAAGGATAAGCTGATTTCTTCGGGTGGCGCAAAATCTATGAGAATCACAAACATAAAAGGAAAATACACTCTCTTGTCCACACATGATGTGCAGTCTGCCATTACGTATTTAGACAATTGTCTTAGCATGAGACTATGGGTTAATGGATGATTTAGTGTTTTTCTTTCTTTTCTATTGTAATTAAGAAGTGAAAAGTATCAATCAAACCACAATATGTAAAAGCCAATAAGAAAAGCACTATAGAATAGCTCCAGAGAAACTTTTTCAAAGACAAATTCTTCAGTTTATTACTAGCAGAACCACTTTTTTGTAAATGCACAGAGGTCACAGTGCAACATACCAGCTTGCCGTCACTGTTGGCTGAGAGCGTGGCCATTTCCACGGCCTCTCCGTTGCTATACCTGCAACTCAGCTTGCCTCCCTCCAAAGAGCAGCTGGCTTTGGGATCCGAGGTACATGTCTTAACATCCAGGGAAGTATTGTCATTCTGTGTACTGTCCAATTTCTTGCAGGAAGCCACCAGCACGCCAGTGGCCTGGTCATAAGAAGTAGGAGTGCAACTATCAAGAAATTTATTGCAGGTGCCGGAGCCATCGTTTGTGTTGCAACACACCATGCTTCCATCATTGTTGCCTGCATAATTCTCCATATCAACGGGGAGGGAGTTGTCATTGGTACAAGAGAAGATTGGAGATTTCCTTGATCCCTGTCCCTGGAGTTCGCAATTGGCCACTCCACCACACTCGTCTGTGCTCAAACTTGAATTGTGTGTAGAGCCATTGACCATTTTGCATGTTGCTTTCAGGACGTTGTTTCTATAAGAGAGGGGTGTACAACTTTTCAAAAAGCCTCCGCATGATGAATCACAACTCTACAAGAACCCAAATCAAATTTCCTGGCCGCAGAAGAATTTTCTTTGGTGTGAGCTTACCACGAGTAGAAATGTGTTGATTACAAACACCAACGACGTGCACACAAGCTTTGGCATTGTGCTTAAGGTGATTTCTAATGTTCATTAGAAAAAATTGTGATGTCTTTGGGCTTTGTTAAATCCGGAATGCACACTAAAGGACGAAATACCATGTCTTATTTCTTGCCACCACAAGTTCTTTTGTTGACAATTGTGCATTATTTTATTCTTTTTTTTTAGAAAAACAAAAGGTGAAGAACAATGCCTCGAACTTTCGGGAGCCTGGTTGCCAGGTCCACTGTCGGGTCACTTCGCATGAACTTTTCATAGAGCACCACATCCTCTTGTCTCGCGCCATAAGCACTGATAGGCAGCTTCCACGTCCGCGTACGTGTTTGCTTCACTCGGCTGGAAAAAGACGGACAGTCCAAAGTGAAAAACTTAACCAGAGCTCATGGCCAAGTACAAGAACAATGAAAAACTGCAAAGTTCCTGTAGAGCATAAAAGAAAATATATTTCCACAGCCACCAGCTTTCCTAAGTTCCATCTCTCGGAGCGTATGTCCAAAGTGATGGAAAGACAAGGTGCTTCTAGTCTGCCAGCTGTGATCTTCGTGTAACTTTGCAAATATTTATGTAAAAAGCCAAGAATAGCTCTAGAGATCAACAAGCTTTTCCAAAGACCTTCATTGTACTGAATGTTTTTATTATCTTCCTTCTGCTTAAACTGGTGCTGGTGCAGAACTGCAACATGCCACATTGCCATCATTGTTGGCTGCCAGAGTGACCATTTTCACGGCCTCTCCGCTGCTATAGTTGCAACTCAGCTTGGCTCCCTGCAAAGAGCAGCTGGTATTGGGATCTGAGGTACACGTCCTAACATCCAGGGAAGCATTGTGATTCCATGTAGTGTCCACTTTCTCGCAGGAAGCCCGCAGCATCCCGGTGGTCGGGTCGTAAGAAGTAGGAGTGCAACTGTTGAGAAATCCACCGCAGGTGCCAGACTGATTACTTTTCCTGCAACACACCATGTTGCCGTCGTTGTTGCCCGCATATTCCTCCATATTGACGCCGAGGGAGTTGTTACTGGTACAAGAGAAGGTTGGAGCTGATTGGCTTGATCCAGGGCGCTGGAGCCTGCAATTGGCCACTCCACCGCACTCGTCTGTGCTCAAACTTGACTCGTGCTTAGAGCCATTGACCATTTGGCAACTTGCTTTCAGCACATTTTTCTTATAAGAGATGGGTGTACAGGTTTTCAAAAAGCCTCCACAAACTCTACAAGAAGCCAAATCAAGTTCTTTGGTCGCAGAAGAATTGTGAGCTTACCACGAGCAGGAATGTGTTGATTACAAGCATCAACAAGGCACACACAAGCTTATGCATTGTGAAATTGCTTTAAGATGGTCTATTCTCACGTTAGTTTTAAGTGATATCTTTGATCTTTGTTAGATCCGGAATGCACTTAAGGACGAAATACTAAAACTCTTTATTAGTTCACACGTGTTTTGACAATGCATACCAATGTGCATTTTGTGACATTTTATGAAGAGCGAGTGGTGTAAATTAAACATGGATATGAACGAGAATAAGAACTTGGCCAGAAAACACAACAATGCTCATCTCTGGAATAGCTCTTGAAACACCAAAAGCTTGGTCTTTAGTGATACTTCCACGTTTCACTGTTGCTTCACACGTCTGGGATTATATCTGGCTCACGAGACCATCAAAACAGCTTATTATAATCCGTTGGTCTCATGCTTCTTCTTCTTGGTGGGCACCACAAGACCGCTAATGAATGAATGAATGAATATCCCCAGGATTTGCTATATCCTTCAAAGGTCGTCTCAGATTCATCTGGCTACCATCAACAATCTGGAACCTTTGCCAATCACGTTGTCTTTGGATGATTTATCTTCGTCTCGATGTAAAGAGCTTCGTGGCTCTTCTTATAACAAGATATAAAATTTCTTTGAAGTGTACAGGATAAAAAGCTCTTGTAATAACAGGTCGTCTACCTGTTTCATAAAAATACAAGCGTTTTTTCTGTCTCGTTAGTAAGACCGGGTCCTTTGGATCCCTCCCCCGTTCCTTGGGCCACCGGATTTCTCAAGAGATATGATAAACTTGCGCAAGTGCCTGATATACTCTGGATAGAGCTCCAAGTTGCAGTGACCCCTCCTTTGAGCCACAGTGGCTCGTACTTTTCCTTGCAAAGATCCCACAGCTGCTTGCCGTGTGAGCAATCCACAACTTCGTCGCTGGTACCCTGTGAAAATGAAGATCAGATTCCTCACCTAGAACTAGAACCAAGTGGGGAAAAGAAGAAAGAATAAAGAAGAAACTTTATCACTTACGTGGATGACGAGCACGGGACAATTCACGCGTCTTATCTTTTCAATGTTCTGCAAGGAACCGAAGGTAGGAAAATCAAATCAAAGAACTCTCTTTTCATACCTTGTAGATATCAAACCAGTATGTTCTCTTGACGGGGTACATAACACGCAAGCCGGAGAGGATTGGACTGTGAAGAACAACGCCTCGAACTTTCGGGAGCCTAGGTCCACTGTCGGGCCACTTCCCACGGACTGTCCATAGAGCACCACATCCTTTTGTCTCACGCCATAGTCTCGCTCCAAGCACTGATAGGCAGCTTCCACGTCCGCGTACGTGTTTGCTTCACTCGGCTGGAAAAAGATGGACAGTCCAAAGTGAAAACCTTGACCAGAGTTCATGGCCAAGTACAAGAACAATGAAAAACTGCAAAGTTCCTGTAGCTAAAAGAGACAGTATAAAAGAAAATATGTTCTTTCTATCTACACAGAAAATGCCAGGCAAATAGTTATAAGAGGAAGTCAATGATAGAAACTTGGGAAAAAACCGATACAACAAAGACAATAATCAATGAAATAATGGAAGAACAGCGAAAGAACGGCAGTGAGAAAGAACTCGAAAGAACTCCAACGAAACAAAGAGAAGGAAAAAAAAACAAAAAATCTCCAAGGACAGATCAGTGGAAGAGAGGAATTCCCATCCAAAAATCGCGATTTGTGGCTTACCCCATGACGTTCACCTGGAGATGGACGCTGAGCTCCACCAGACGATGACAGAGACAAATGGGTTGCAGCCTTTGATGAGGAGTATAACTCCTTTCTCAAGAACAACACCGTCTCCTTGGTGGAAAGAGCTCCGGCCGGGCGTAAACTAATTAAATCCATGAGGATTCCTAACCCACACCACCATTTCTCGCTACAAGGCTCGCTTGGTGGCGAAAGGCTACTCTCAAGCATGTGGAAGATGTCCTGCAATGATTCGCCATGGACTCTTGTGCGCCTGCACCCATGCCAATGGTTGTTGTAGAAGGATATGACTCCTTCTACAGACTCGGATAGGAGGAAAATGGCGAACGTTCCTTACCGAAGTGCCATGGGAAGCTTGATGTACCTGGTGGTGTGCACGCGACCAGACATTGCCTTCTTAGTGAGCATGGTAAGCAGGTTTCTCGACAATCCAGGCCTTGCACATTGGCAGTAAAAAGAATTTTTTCGTTACTTACGAGCTACCACTTCTTTTGGCTTACTTTACACGCCAAAAGTCACAAGCTTACAGGGCTACTGTGATACAGACTGGGCTGGCTGCCCAGATTCACGAAGATCACACACAAGCTATTTTTTTTAGCTTGCAACACGCAGCTCTTTCTTGGAGCAACAAGAAACAGAGTGTTGTGGCCTGCTCTAGCTGAGAAGCTGAGTATATGGCCGCTAGCGCTGCTTGCAAGAAGGCCATTTGGCTTCGCCGTCTTCTAACAGACATGGAACACTCTCTTCCATCCTTAGAACTCCAAAATGACAGCAAACATGCGTGTACAGAAAGTCAACAGTCGTTTGCTGATCAGAAACCGGAGAAGAAACTGCTTCAGCCCATTTAATAATGGTATTTATAGCCATGAAAATGTAGGTGTCCCTACATTTTTATGGCTATAAACAGCATTATTAAATGGGCTGAAGCAGAGAACAAAGTCCTGAGCAGTCCAAACTCCACTGCATAAACGGTCCTTCTGGGTGAATCGGATGTAGCAGGTGTTTATCATGTAGACGAACAGTCTGAAATTGTTGACATGGTTGGGAGTGTTAAACATACTGAGCACTGTCACGGTAGAGTGTGGGCCAAAAGTACCCCACGCATAATATATTCTTGCTGGTGTTCATTGCTCATGTGTTGCAACTAAGAGCTGTGAAGCTTCAATAACGGAGGAGTGTGCCATCTCCATGTCAGCAATACAGAGTGCCATCAGCGAGAATGAACTGACTGAGAGAACGGCATTCATGCCGAGACTGTTGTGTTTGACCATTGAATGAATTTTTATTCATGAGATTTTTAGTCAAAAAACAACACGTCTGTTGGCACTGTTGGTCTAGTCCTAGTTGGCACTGGTGTCTGTCCAGTACGTTGTACGGCTTGCCACGGTAACACTCTCGCAGATGCCAAGTGCAGCCTGAAACTGAGAAAATTTTGGAGGAGAGTGCCTTGGTCAGAACGTCAGCAATCATGTCCTGAGTAAGACAATACACAAGCTCGACGATTCCATTTTCATACTGGTCTCGAAGAAAATGGTGTACTGTGTCCATGTGCTTCGTTTTTGAATTGATCTTCCGATTCTTGCTTAAGGCAATGCAGTGCTGATTGCCACAATAGATCGCTGTTGAACCTCCTACTTTCTAATCAAGGATCACACTTCTTAGGCGCTATTGTTGTTGAGCTGACAATAAAGCTTGGAATTTCTCATCTGACGTCAAGCTCCTACTGGCAAAGGAATGGCCAGACCGAGGTCACGAACAAGTCACTTAAGTCAATTCTCCAGAAGGTTGTTCAGGAGTGCATAGCCAACTCTATTACCACATGCTTTGTGGATAACAAAGAAGCTCCTTACAGGTTTTACACCATTTTGATTGGTGTATGGTTTGGAAGCGGTTCTTCCCTCACAACTTTGTTTACCTTCCTACTGGATCGCCTAGGAAGTGAGGAAGTGGATCCCACTAGAACTGTTGGGACATCATAGGATATTCACACCAACTGCACAGATCAATTGATACAGCTGGATGAGGGATTGAGATATTAAGGCCGTTCGTATTCAGATTCAGCAATATTGCACTGCTCTCATGCTTGTGAAGCAGCGAGGTGAAAGCTTCCTCCCAGGTGATGTCGTTTGGCGCCTGGATGCTTCTACACACCATAAAGCAAAGTTTCAACCTCCGTGGATTGGCCCTTATCAAGTCCTTGGGAGCGCAGGGACAAACTCCTACTAGCTTGCAGAGCTTCGGGTTCAAAACTGCCGAATCAGACAATGGTAATCATCTCAAGAGGTATTTTCTCTATGTTAGTTCCTTCTAATTTCAATTCCTATTGCTATTTCATTGTTCATCTAACCTTTAACGCTTGAGTTTTGCAATTTAGAGGCCTGATACTATACCGGGAGGATAGAGTTTCACTCCTGTGGGGTGCCGGATTACAGGAATGTCCATTATGATTCTCTTACGAGATAAGTTTCTTTCCTTTAAGCAGGGCTATTCATTCAGTGTCATGAGATAGAATTTCTTTGATCAAATTGCTATGCATTCTTGTTGCTTTCAGCCTGCCTCATATGGCTCTTGTTTATATGTATCTTTGTGTTTCCTTGACGTCTTTGATACTTGTTTTGGCTGCCTTACCGACGTTGAAAGAAGGCCAAGCCGCTTGGTCCAAGAGAAGGGGTTGGTTCAAGCTGACAGTTGGCTGCCTTGTTCAGTCCTTTCGGCCAGACAACTTATCCTTTTTGACAGGCTATTACCTGTGTCTGGATGTCTTGGGACTTTTCCATCTTTCTGTGTTTTTGTGAATTTGTTTTCTATTCATCTTTGCCTTGGAGCTTCGCCTTGAAATCTGTCTCAGAACATTCTTTGTCAGCCTCTTTTGGTTGAGAAGTCTTCCGGTTTCTCCTTTCCAGCATATTTATTTTTTGCAAGGGACGCATTTTTCCCAGTGAGAGTCGCCAAACTGGTAGAACTAGGGTAGAAAAGACACTCTAAACCGGTTTTGAACCCGAAGCTCTGCAAGCTAGAAGGAGTTTGTCCCTGCGCTCCCAAGGACTTGATAAGGGCCAATCCACGGAGGTTGAAACTTTGCTTTATGGCATCTGGAATGCACACTAAAGGACGAAATACTGTGTCTTAGTTTGTAACATGAAGATGTGATAACCAATGTATTTTATTTGATGTGCATTATTGTTCTCTTTTTTCCTAATCATACCAAAAAAAATTATGAAATTCTTGCCCTATGTGTAAATCTGAGGTACAACATTGTTATAACTCTTTTTTCTTGAAAGTCTAGCGTTCCAGGTCAATCTATTACTTCACCTATATAGAAGGAATTACCTTATCTCTTAGCAGCAACACTTTGGAATCACTGCCAATCACGTCTTTGATCCAACCATGCTTGGCTCTATCTAAATTGAGATGCCATAAAATCCAAATGGGAATTAAAAACGTTTACAAGCTTTCTCGAGCTTCTGCTCTCAGAGCATATGTCCAAAGTGATGAAAAGACAAGGTGCTTCTAGTCTGCCATCTGTCTCATAGAAGTATGAAATGTGTAAATTTGCAAATTTTATGTAAAAGCCAAGAATAGCTCTAGAGATCAAAGACCTTTATTGTATGGCTCTATCTAAATTGAGACGCCATAAAATCCAAATGGGAATTAAAACGTTTACAAGCTTTCTCAAGCTCCTGCTCTAGGAGCGTATGTCCAAAGTCTCGAGACCAACAAGCTTTTCCAAAGACCTTTATTGTACTGAATGTCTTTATTATCTTCCTTCTGCATAAACTGGTACTAAGTGCAACATGTTATATTTCCATCATTGTTGGTTGCCAGAGTGGTCAATTGCACGGCCTCTTCGGTGCTATAGTTGCACTTCAGCTCGCCTTCCACAAAATAGCAGACAACATAGGGATCTGAGGTACACTTTGGAACATCCAGGGAAGCATCGCCATTCAATGTAGTGTCCATTTTCAAGCACCGAGCCTTCAGCAGCCCGGTGTCCAATTCATACGAAGCAGGAGTGCAACTGTTGAGAAATCCACCGCAGGTGCCAGACTGAGTACTTTTCCTGCAACACACCATGTTTCCGTCGTTGTTTTCCGCATATTCCTCCATATTGACGAGGACGTTGTTACCGCCGCAATAGAAGGTTGGAGCTGATTGGCTTGATCCAGGCTGCTGGAGCGTACATTTGACCACTCCACGGCACTCGTTTGTGCTCAAACTTGACTCGTGCTTAGAGCCATTGACCATTTGGCAACTTGCTTTCAGCACATTTTCCCTATAAGAGATGGGTGTACAGGTTTTCAAAAAGCCTCCACATGATGAATCACAACTCTACAAGAAGCCAAATCAAGTTCTTTGGTCACAGAAGAATTGCGATCTTACCACGAGTAGGAATGTGTTGATTACAAGCACTAACAAGGCACACACAAGCTTATGCATTGTGAGATTGCTCTGAGATGGTCTAGGTCGTGTTCTCACGTTAGTTTTAAGTGATATCTTTGATCTTTGTTAGATCCGGAATGCTCTTAAGGACGAAATACTAAAACTATTTATTAGTTCACACGTGTTTTGACAATGCATACCAATGTGCATTTTGTCACATTTTATGAGGTGTAAATTAAACATGAACGAGAATGTTTAACTTGGCCAGAAGCACAACAATGCTCATCTCTGGAAGAGCTCTTGAAACACGAAAAGCTTGGTCTTTAGTGATACGAGTCGATGAGCGCAGCACTCATCTTGAATCACCGACGTGTTATCTTTGCGACTACGAAGAAAAAATAGTCCTTCAGACAGAAAAAGAAAGAAAGTAGCGACCTTCCGCGATCAAAATCCTCCTAAAGGCATTCGCAAGTGCGGCATCGATTCCAATCCTATAGATCGCCCTCCGTCAGATATTTGATCTCCACACGGAAGTTCCGCCGGAAATCGCCGAGCCGGAGGCTGTTGTCATAGGTAACCGAAGAAGTACTGGACACTCTCTGTCTATCGGTGGATCGGTCGATCAATGCAAGACAAATCAGCCCAAGGCAGCTCCAAATTTCCCCAATTTTGTGGGGTTTAGGGTTCTTCCCGGTTCTGAAAGAGATCAATGGCGCGGTAAGGCGAGCAGAAATGCCGGCGTCGCTTCTTTCCCCATCGGCCGATTTCCAGTTTCAAATGCAGGCGTGCAATCGATCCGGCGCGCTATGCATGCTCCTTGCGAACAAACCGGCATGGAGAGTTTCTCCCGCAAAAAATGGGGCAGGGGACGATCTACGAGCAGCACGAAGAAGGGATTGCGCGTTGCCGCCATGAGCGCTATCCAAGAATTCCAGCAGGATTTCGGGGTGGTAGGAGCGGTGGTGGCTGGAGCTTATCTCTGGGTCCAAGGCTTCGAGCTACTCACTAGATTCAATGTCCTAGACCAGGTAAAGAACAAGACGTCGTTTCTTTCATCTATTTGTTTGCTTCCTCCTCCTCTGTTCTAATTGTCTCTTTCTTTCAGCGCAGAAGCTTTCTCGCAAGCTCGTCCATATGACAATGGGTCCACTCTTCATGCTTTCGTGGCCCATCTTCAGGTATCAACGAAAGAAAATCCTTTTCTTTCTCGAGAGCGCATCAAAGTTTTTCGGTTCTCAAACCGGTTTGTTTACAGCTCTTCGTCGGCGTCCCGCTACATTTGTTCGCTAGTTCCACTGGCCAACGCTGTGCGTCTTCTAATCCTCGGCCTCGGTTTAGGAACAAACGAAGGGGTGGTGAAGTCGATGAGTAGAGATGGCGATGCCAAGTGAGTGGAGTATCATTTAAACAACACCAGAACCCGCATGTGGAAGATGAATTGCTTGCTTGTGGAAAAACGAGCTTCGATCTCAAATCAGAATCCTTGCTTCCTTCTTTTCTTCACTCGGGAAAAACACACTTGCTTGATCTCTCTTTAGAACTCGACTACCCTATTTAAGCACGAAAATCTTACACCATCGCAACAACAAAACGCGTCGGGACACGATACGCTCGCTTTCTCTTTCTCTTTCTTCTTCCTGTAGTTACTTCGGCGTGTTTTCTCCCAGCGTCGACCGACAGTGTAGAAGTTCACATCCATACGAAAAATGGCACACTTTTGGCGGCCAAAAAAGCAGCTTGAGGTCGTTACAAAAAGTTGGTCCTTATTCTCGAGAGGTAAAAACTACCCGCAAAAGTTCCCGAAATCTACCGGCATTTGCACAAAAAAATTATCAACGCGGGAATATTATTTTGAGCTTCTCCAGATTTAATCAATCCTTCACGAAACTCTTGAAACGGTTTCTTCGCTCTTGATCCATCCCAATTGCCCAAAATCACAATTTGGCGCTCCTTAACAGTGGACTGTGCAGTGTTTTAGCTCACTTGCTGTAGTAATTGTAGGTGTGGGTGTAAACGTATACAACGCTAGAACCACCGCCCTCCTTCTTCTCGTCCTTCTTCTTTGGGGGCTCGTAATCGTTCTCGATGGAACGAAGAACGCTGTGGTGGCAATCCACCGCCTTGACCACGTCGTCCACATCAAATTTGCCGATCACAACCAGGCCTGACGACTCCGATTCCACCTTATCAACTCCTGTCGAAAAAACCACACCAGATTCATGGTCTCCAGATCCAATCCAAAGATTATACGTTTGATCTTTTTGAGGGCGTTGATCTTTCCCTCGCAGCTCCAACAAGTAGAGAGTGTGACCTTCTTCATGCTTTCAAAAAAAGAAAAATAGATCCAACCGGGAGATTTTTCCTTGAAACTTGCTCTCTCCTAGGGAAAATTAGCCGAGCTGCTATCGCGCTTGCTCGTCTTCGAACTGATTTTATAGCTGGATTCTACGTTAAGCCATCGTAGGACGACGCGTCTACTACCAAATTCCTCGCTACTTCAAAACACGAGGCCCGCGTCTGGGGGAAGACCATTTCACCAGGCTTTCGCAATGCAAAAGAAGATTTCACTCGTAGTTCCTTAAAAAAGATGAAATCTCATTTCTAAAGAAGATTGAAATTGATTTGCACAACCAGATCTTGTTTTCCTCTCTTAGGATCTTACATGCATAAGCATTTGCATGGCTCTCCGGAGTAGGTCCCAAGCCCAAATGTCTATAGACTATATCTATCTATCTATCTCTGTTTTTTTTTTCGCAAGTAGACAATGTCACCTTCTGCATCAGATGATGATCTCAGAACACGGCAAAAACAGTTCGACGTCGAAACAAAAAGTTGTTCTTGCCCTTGGCTCCATTTGTTTTCTGTTTTTTCTCTGTTGGTTCGTCCCACCTTGTCACGTAATCTAGAGGTATACATACATGTGCGAATCTACGGTAGTACGACCTGCAACAGCTGAAGCATTGTAGATCTTATCAGTTATTCACACCTGAGCACTTAATCTGTTGAAAATCCAATAATCCCTCACGAAACTCTTGAAACTTTTGCTTAGAACAGAACCACCGCCCTCTTCCTTGTAATCTTTCTCGATGGAGTGAAGAACTCTATGGTGGCAATCCATTGCATTGACCACGTCGTCCACATCAAAGTTTCCAATCAGGCCTAACGAGTCCGTAAGACGACGCGTCTACTTCCAAATTCCTCGCTAGTTCAAATTACGAGGCCCGTTTCTGGCGGAAGCCATTTCACCTGAAAGAAAATTTCCACACGGATCACAGTTTTATCGACGCGTCTAAATCTCGTGCCATCATGGATTTGTTTTGGTGTTGCAACTTGACACCCTCGTGCTCCCTTTCTGAAATCGCTGGAAGAAAAAGTCCATTCGAGCCGGGAGATTCACGGACCATTTTTTTAAAGTTTGAAGCTTGAATAGCATTATATAATCTTCTAAACAATTCCAATCGCATAGCCTGAAACTCACTTGCAACTCCTCAGAAAATAAACCATTTATTTCTCTAAACAGGAGGAGGATCACTTTTAGGATAAAAATGATGTTTTGACGAAGTGAGAACTTTACTAGAGCTGAGAGCCACCATAGAGTCTCCGGTGTGTTTTCTTTCTTCTTTCTGCGGGATCAATATTTTAGATTCGCTTTTAATCTCTGAACCGCGTCGGTTTCAAGCTTTCGAAATTGCTTCACCTCCCATGAATTCAAGTATTTGAAGTGGAAGAGAAAAACTACTTCTATACACAAACACTATTTTAACTCACTTCCAGTACTGGTTGTAGGTGTGGGTGTACACATATATAACGCTAGAACCTTCCTCCTTCTTGTCTTCCTTCTTTTTGGGGGGCTCGTAATTGTTCTCGATGGAACGAAGGACACTGTGGTGGCAATCCATCGCCTTTAGCACGTCGTCCACATCAAATTTTCCAATCACCACCAGGCCTGACGACTCCGACTCCACTTTATCGACCCCTGTTCAGAGATTTCATGGAATCAGGGCCGCGATCCAATGCAAAGATTGTGCTATACCTTTGATCTTCTTGAGCGCGTCGGTCTTCCCCTTGCAGCTTTCACAAGTTGAGAGTGTCGCCTTCTTCATGCTTGCAAGGAAAGGAAAATGGATCGAGATTACTACTTGCTTGCTCAAGATGTTTGCTCAGAAAACCGAGAAATACGCTGCGAGATGCCTTGCTGCTAACGTTTGCGGTTTTTATAGCTTGATTCTACGGTACAGTCTTTGTAGGACCACGCGTCACCACCAAATTCCTCGCGATTTCAGCGAATAGTCAAAGACGACCACAATGCAGAAGAAAATTCCACACTGTCTAGATCCGCGTTGTTGCAACTTTAACAGTCTATTCTTCTTATGAAGAGGACATTCCAACTAGCTGGGAGACCGATTCATCAAAGCCGCAAAAGATTGTCGCGTTTGAGCCTAGAACTCAAGTTGAGCAGCAAATCATACAGCAGCAAATGGGTGATTCCCTACTAGAAGTGGTCGTTGCCACTATTCCACACATCGCGTGGCACCGTGGGATGAACTTCATGATGTTCCTTCTTCTCTTCTCTCATTATTGTCCTTGCGGGAACAATTTCGTGAAAGTTTCGGCCCCAAAAAGTTGTTTCCCGTGAGTTCGGACCAGTTAATCGATGGTTGTTTTTTACAACATAAAAAAGGTAAGGTAGGAAAAAACTCTGCTAGTTTACTATTCTAGAACTCCACACTGATCGATTAACTTTATGGAAACGCAGGGGTGGTGAAGTGGAATCCGATTCTTCTGGCTCTCCATTGAGAAGTATATCCTTGACTACGGCTGAGCACCGGCATTATTCATCAGTTTAATCAAAAAATATTCAAGTTTTGAAAATTTAATGCTCTGACAATTTCGCTAGAAAATATCCTTAAACCCTTATGTTAAACTGAGGGTTAAATTTTAAACTAAAGTATAAAGTGTGCGTGCGAAATAAGAACCCCTAAGAACTTGGTGCTATGCTCTTCTAGATCAGAAGCTCCTGAAGTTGCGCCAGACACGCGCCACCTCCCTTGTTCTTGCAGATCCATCCATCCCTTGCAAGTGGAAGAACAAATAACTATGCAGTGTTTTAGCACTTGCAATTGTAGTGATTGTAGGTGTGGGTGTAAACATATACAACGCTAGAACCACCGCCCTTCTTCTCCTTGTCCTTCTTTGGGGGCTCATAATCGTTCTCGACAGAACGAAGAATGCTGTGGTGGCAATCCATCGCCTTGACCACGTCGTCCACATCAAATTTGCCGATCACTACCAGGCCTGACGACTCCCATTCCACCTTATCAACCCCTGTTGTTCAAAAACAAGAAACGATATCAGCTTTCAAATGTCCAATCCAAGTTTGTACATACCTTTGATCTTCTTAAGCACATCAGTCTTTCCCTCGCAGCTCCCACAAGTTGAGAGTGTCACCTTCTTCATGCTTGCAAAAGGAGGAAAAATGGATCGAGATTTTTTTTTGAACCTTTGCTGAGACTTTGCAACTCCGAAGAACACGCTGCGAGATGCCTTGCTGCTCACGGTCGAACTTTGTGGCGGTTTTTATAGCTGGATTCTACAGTTTAGCCACCGCTAAATTGCCAAAGTCGAAGACCATTTCAAAGCTTCTCTCTTGCATTGTATAGAAAGTTTTCAGAGCGTACACTGGACTTTCACATGGGCTTCCCTTTCTCGTGCCTCACATTTGACGTCATTTGATGAGTTGCAGCTTTTTGAAATCGCTGACAAAACCCATGCTGGGAGACCAAAGAAGCGTCCTTGACTTAAACTTTTACCCCCACAATCGCGACTGGCCATCAACTTTGTCAAATCCATTCCAGCTGGGAGACCAAAGAAGCTTACATTGATCGCTTAAATCCATGGTAAGATTGAAAGGTCAGTGTACGTTCACGGAACATTTTTCTAAACTTTGAAGCTTGAATAGCATTATACATTCTTCTAAACAAATCAAATCGAGTCTGATACTGTGGCTCTCAGCTCTAGTAAAGTTCTATTTTGAACTCACTTCATCAAAACATCATTTTTATCCTGCAATTGAAAAGTGACTTCGTTCAAGTCTCCTCCTGTTGAGAGGAATAAAACAAATGGTTTTTTTCAGAGTTCCACTCTTTAAAATGTGATGACGCACGTTCATTTTCAAACTCTTAGGAAGAGAATTAATCTCCTCAAAGTTCAAGGTTAAGAACGAACCACATTCCTTTACAGTCAAATGCACCGGTGCATCTTCTTTCTTTCTGTGGCATCAATGTTTTAGATTCACTTTTGAACTCTGAGCCGAGAAAAATTAATGCCCTTGATTGAGACATCAACTTTAGAAATTGCTTCACCTCCCATGAATTCCACATTCAAGAATTTGAGGTAGAAGAGAAAATCTATTTTTACACACAAACACTATTTAACTCACTTCCAGTACTGGTTGTAGGTGTGGGTGTACACATATATAACGCTAGAGCCTTCTTCCTTCTTGTCTTCCTTCTTTTTGGGGGGCTCGTAATTGTTCTCGATGGAACGAAGGACACTGTGAGGGCAATCCATCGCCTTTAGCACGTCGTCCACATCAAATTTTCCAATCACCACCAGGCCTGACGACTCCGATTCCACCTTATCGACCCCTATTGGGAAAACCGCACCAGAGATTTCATGGAATCAGGGCCGCGATCCAATGCAAAGATTGTGCTATACCTTTGATCTTCTTGAGCGCGTCAGTCTTCCCCTTGCAGCTTTCACAAGTTGAGAGTGTCGCCTTCTTCATGCTTACAAGGAAAGGAAACTGGATCGAGAAAACTAGTTGCTCGCTCAAGATGTTTGCTTGAAGCTTGCCAGAAAATCAAGAAATACGCTGCGAGATGCCTTGCTGCTAACGTTTGCGGTTTTTATAGCTTGATTCTACGGTATAGTCTTCGTAGGACGACGCGTCACCGCGATTTCAGCGAATAGTCAAAGAGAAGAAAATTCCACACGTCTAGATCCGCGGTGTTGCAACTTTAACTGTCTATTCTTCTTATGAGAGACCGATTCATCAAAGCCTGCAAAAGGTTGTCGCGTTTGAACCCAGCAGCAAATCATACAGCAGCAAGCCTTCGGGCATGGGTGATTCCCTACTCAAAGTGGTCGTTGCCACTATTCCAACACATTGCGTGGCACCGTGGGAAAGCGAAGAGACGAACTTCATGATCAGAGACTGTTCCTTCTTCTCCTCTCTCCACTTCACCACCCCTGCGTTTCCAAAAAGACTTTACCTTTTTTTTTATGTTGTAACTTTTTGGCGCCGAATCTCCCATGAAATCCCGCAAGGTGATATAGACATTGAACAAAAGGTTGTTCTTATCTTGGGCCCTTTGTTCTCTCTCTCTCTCTCTCTCCCTCGCTCTGAGATTCTTTCTGTCACGGAATCTAGAAGTATAGCCTTGACTACGGCGACGTGCACTGGCATTTGTGCTATGCAAAGTCTTTTGCATCTAACTTTTGGAAACCTTACTTCCACGATCGAATTCCACGTCGAGGCATCTCGCTGGAGCATCCCATCGAACGTTCTGCGAGACCGAGGATGAATTTGGCCATAGTGTTTTAGCAGATTCTTTCCACTGCGGATGCAAAGCGTGATCATCACATTCCAAGAGATCTCGTTCTTCTCTGGAGCCAATTTGAATGCTCTTCATGGGGCCAGAAGCCTCAGGGCACCAGTTTCATGCAGAACACTTTCACAAAAAAAAGAAAGAAAGAGTTTCTAGATCTGAAACTCTTGAAATTATTTCATACACACCCTTGTTCTTGCAGATCCATCCATCCCTTGCAATTGGAAGAACAAATTAGCACTTGCAATTGTAGTGATTGTAGTTGTGGGCGTAAACATACAAAACGCTACCGCCCTCCTTCTTCTCTTCCTTCTTCTCTTCCTTCTTCTTTGGGGGCTCGTAATTGTTCTCGATGGAACGAAGAACACTGTGGTGGCAATTCATCGCCTTGACCACGTCGTCCACATCAAATTTGCCGATCACTACCAGGCCTGACGTCTCCGATTCCACCTTATCAACCCCTGTTGTTCAAAAACAGAAAAATCCACGAGATCAGCTCTCGAATTTCCAATCCAAAGTTTGTACATACCTTTGATCTTCTTAAGCGCATCAGTCTTTCCCTTGCAGCTCCCACAAGTTGAGAGTGTCACCTTCTTCATACTTGCAAAAAGAGAGAAAATGGATCGAGATTTTTTCTTGAAACTTTGCTGAGACTTTGCCGCAACACCGAAGAACACTCTGCGAGATGCCTTGCTGCTCACGTTCGAACTTTGTGGCGGTTTTTATAGCTGGATTCTACAGTTTAGCCACTGCTAAGCTAAATTGCCAAAGTCGAAGACCACTTCAATGCTTCTCTCTTGTCTACCTATCAAAATCCCTTGGATTTCCTTCTTTCCAATCTATTCAAGCCAGCTCCAAACCCCTCAAGTTGTCGTTCCCGTCTCTTCTTTCCTTTTTTCTGCCCTTTTGTGTGCTTGGAGCTCGAGCTTTTAAAGCATTCTTGAGAGAAAAAGAGGAGATCGGGTCAATTGCGAGAAAAGATCAACACGTCCTAAACCCATGGCCATTTCCTTAGAGATGATATAAGGCTGCACTAAGCACAGTTGAACAAGCCAAAAAGTTGGCAGCTTGTCAACAAAAACACACAAAGAAGACTTCAGCGATTGCCCGGAAATATTGTCAATTTGTCTTTGATTCTTAGAAAAAGGAAGGATTCCTTGCTACAGCTTTGGCTGAATTTTCTCCAGATCTAACCTCGATATGGCATAGAACACCACAATAAAATCCCATTGACAAACACACCAACACGCAAACACTATTTCGTCACTGAGGAAATTGATCGCCTTTGAATGGGCCTGACTCAAGCTTTGATCATCAGAAGGAACGTGTCTTCTAAAGTCACAGGAAAAAGAAAAAGATGAAAAAGAGATTAGCCACTGGTGAGAAAAACGTAAGAGCTCACCTTGATCCCTGTAGGTTTCCGGCTTTTGTCCTGCCCAGACAGCCTTTGCTTTGTTGTCGGGCTCCACAACTTTGTATACCTTATGTCGCAAAGGAAACATGAAAGCCTCGTAAGCTTTCCTGTTATCGTCCACCTTGACATCCACCGTGAGAAGTCTTTCGATCGCCATGCCATTTTCTATCCCTGTCGAAGACACAGAAGAAGAGATCCAACCGGAGATGTATCGCGGCCCCGATCCTGTGACAAATCCCGTTGTTGTCGCATCTAAACTTTAAATATTCCATCAGCATATTCTGTAAAAAGATGTCCAACGCTGACACGGACCTCTGGAACAGGATTTGCCATCACCTTCGGGCTTCCATCTTTGTTCTTTACCTTCCACATGCGTGTTCTGGTGTTGTTTAAATGATACTCCACTCACTTGGCAAACATCTTCCACAAGCAAGCAATTCATCACCTTCGGGCAATTTTATTCTCTTGCTCATCTTTACTTGTTCTGTTTTTATAGAGAGCTTTTACAAGGTCCTTTATACTATGTAGCGGTGCTCTTCATAAGCACAGTGTGCTTCTGGCTTGACTCTCCTGTTGGAATGATAGCTCTGTCTGTGATGTGTGACGGTGACGGTAAGTAAATCCATCCAAAAGCTTTCTTCGCCTGATTCTCGCGCTACAGGGATTGCTGACATAATAGGCAGGAAGTTTGGGCGTGAAAAGCTTCCATACAATGAGAAAAAAAGCTGGGCCAGAAGCACAGCAATGTTCGTCTGTGGAACAGCGCTCTCTTTCGCGTGAGTGTTTTTCGAAACAAAAGCTTGGCCTTGAGTGACTCTTCCATTGTTTCAGGTCGATCTATTACTTCACGTATCTGGGAGTTTATGCCTTGGATCCGCTCGATACTCTAGCTCGTGTCACATTCATCTCGCTAGCAGCAACACTTGTGGAATCGCTGCCAATCACGTCGTCTTTGGATGACAATCACGTGGTCCCAACGACGGTCATGCTGCTCGGCTCGATCTTATTCTGAAGTAAGACTCCACTTTCTCACATTTTATTTTAAGCAACGGTTAAAGCGAAACTGTGATGTTAAGCTTCCATGCAACTGGGCCACTCTTGCTCGCCTCGGCTGGTGGTCAAGTCCACTGTCGGACCACTACGAAAGTGAAAAGAAGTAAATGATAGCTGCGACCGTGCATGTCATCCGGCCCAGGAACAACAGAAAGTTATTAGCCATCTTCATGTCATGCCTGTTTCTTCAACCTACAAACCTTCAGCTGAAAGAAATATCAAGGACGGTATGGTCATTAATGGGACCATAGACTTTGATGAAACTTTAATGAAATACATTCATGAAAAACCTTGATTCACAATTGCGTACAACTGGGTTTGCTTTTGTGATCTTGATTTGGTCCCAACTAGTCACACTGCTCGTTTCCATCTCTTGATGAAATAAAAAGGTGTAAGCCACAAATTTTTCCTTTCCAATTTGCTAGCTTACCTCGTCTATCCGACCAACGCTGCCTTGGCTTGTGCTAAGTTCCCTTGCCAAGGTTCTCGCCTATTGTACCAGCTCCTACTTGGTCCTACTTGGTTTCAGCTACTCACTGCACGAGCAACGGAGTGTTAGCCATCCATCTACGGATTCCCAAATCTCTCATAATCCCCCTCCCCGGGTTAGACTGGATTTAAGGTTTGGCTACACTCCCCGCAGGCACAAGCAGCCAAGCACACCAAGCCTCCCGGTTCCTAACACCCCTTGGTACAACAAGATTTGATCATGGGACCCTCTAAATCCCAAGCCTTGGGTGCAGCACTTGCTTCGGGACGTCGGGGCGAAACACCGTGGCCTAACGGCCCGGCATGGGTACCTTTACCCCCCCACTTCCATCCCGAAGGGAAGGTCCAAGCCCCTAGGAAGGGCGAGGACCAATGAGCCGCATGGTACTCAAGTGGGGCACCACTCCACATGAGCCGGGAGCACTGCAATCAGTTTCCCTTTCGGGAGTGGGAGCTGCTCTTAAGCACTTCCTTGGATGGCCCCTCCGGCACCAACCAAGTCCATACTCACTCCCACCCAAGGCCCCTCGGTCCCAGTCTCAACCTCAACTGGTTCCTAGACCTCACTATCCCTACTATGCTTTTGGAACCCCCTGCAGCCCCCCTCGGGAGACGCATGCTTTGGGATTTCACCCCTTGACCCGTATTAATATTTGGACTTAGTCTCTGGCTCGATCTCGGACTCGATTTCGAATCCGACTTCGGATTCGGTCTCGGACTCGATCTCAGACTTGATCTCGGACCCGATCTCAGACCTGACCTCGGACTCGACCTCGGACTCGGTCTCGGACCCCATTTTGGATCTCGGACTCCATCTCGAACTCGGTCTCGAACTCGGTCCCCGAGTCGGCCTCGGACTCAATTCCGGACTCTATCTCGAACTCGGTCTCCGAGTCGGTCTTGGACTCGATCTTCGACTTGGTCCCATCTGATGAACTCTTTGTCATTTTGGTCATGCTTTCGGGGTTCCTTTAGCTTACGACACCTCGGCGAGTTGGTTCCTTACAACTCCACCACCCATAGAAGAAGTTCGATGCCCACATCGAATGTCTCTTTTTTACCCTACAACTTGTTGACCATGTCTCCGGGGGCATCCCCCCATTTAGCGGTGTGCCTAAGTTAGCCTCCCTGGCCAAGAGCCCATGACAACGGAATATAGGTGTCCCTATACTCCTCACCTCACCACGCCCTAGTATGGGGTCGGGACTTGAACCCAACCTTGCTTTACTAGGGGGTTGGGACTTGAACCCAACTTTCATAAAATACGTCTACGGATTCGACATCCCCACAAGGAGTCGGGCGTAGCTCCCTACGCCTGGTCGACCTAGCTAACCCATGCTAATTAGCTTACCTTTGGCGCGCCTTCGGGTCCCAACATATGCCATTGCTCAACTTCTCAAATTGATACTTTTAATTGAACTTTGCATAAGTACATAGAGTTCTGCCTTGCAGAAATTCCTCCACTAGATCTCGCGCGTTCGCTAGGTTTTCCTCCGGTTCCCATGTTGCTTCGCAGTGTGGAAATCCTTTCCACTTCACATGGAACTCTCTCACCTCGCGTCCTTGTCGCTTGCTCTTGCGCGCATTGAGGATGGCCTCCACTTTGTATTCCTCTTCCCCTTGGATAACCTCAGGTAAAGGTCTTACTTGGTCCTTGCGAAGTGGATCCTCAAAATACGGCTTGAGTAAGTTCATGTGGAACACAGGATGCATCTTCCCCATCTCTCGAGGAAGTCGGAGACAGTAAGCCACTTTACCGATTCGAGCCTCAATCTCATAAGGCCCCGCGAACCTGCTTAAGGAACTCAAGATCAATTCATTTACAGGAATACATGCATTTTTACTTTTGGGTCAACTTTCAGCTGATCCCACTTGGTAGCCTGAAGTTCTTGGTGTTCAGCCACACCTTCTCCCCAGCTTGGAACTCTACGTCCCGGCGCTTCTGGTTTGCGTACTTGGTTTGCCTTTGTTGCGCCCGTTCCAAGGAATCCCTCACGAGATTCCAAATGTTGAGTCTTTCCGCTGTGAATGCCTCCACTACGGGTAGCTCTCCATGATACTCGGCCACGCCGAGTTCCACAGGACCTTCAATAGCTCGCCCATTGATGACTTCCCATGGACTCACCCCGATACTCGAATGTGGTGAGTTGTTGTAACACATTTCCGCAAGTCCCAAATGACTTACCCAATCGGTCTGGTCTCCCGAGACATAGCATCGTAAATAATCCTCCAGCTGCCTATTCACCCTTTCCATTTGTCCGTTTGTCAAGAAGTGTTAGTGCCACCAAACTTGACTTAATACCCCATACCTGTCTGTGGGTGATAGGCTGTGCTGAATTTCAACTTGGTGCAATACTGTTCCAGGAGGGTCCTTCAGAACCTACTAATGAAGATCTTATCTCGATTTGAGATGATCTCTTCCGGCCGTCCCCGCACTCGAACCACTTGTTCGAAGAACAATTTCGCCACACCTTCCGCATCCACTTCCGTTATGGTGGGTATGAAATATGCCATTTTCGAAAATTGGTCCACCACCACGAATATCGCATCAAACCCCTCGTTTGGGGGAAGTCCCATGATGAAGTCTATCGTAAGACATTTCCACGGACAATCTGGAATTGGGATGTTTTGCAACAAGCCCCCACTAGCCTTAGTCACGGCTTTGACCTGCTGACATGTTGGACATGTCTTTACATAGTCTTGGACGTCCTTAGCCATATCTGGCCAATGGTACTTCCTCTTGAGTAAGCCCATCGTCTTAAGCACTCTGCCGTGTCTCGCAAGAGGTCCATCATGACACTCTTCTAAAGCTACCTTCCTTAGTTCCCCTTCTGGAACATACACCCTTGTTTGCTTGTAATAGATGAGTCCGTTGCGTTCCGCATAGCCCGTTTTCTCTTCCGTTGGCAGCTCACCTCTCTGGTGAGCTTCCCGTGCCTCTAGATTCCTTAGCAACACTTCTTGTGCTAGACCATCGTTCTCATATGCTGTCCGCACATCGTCCCAGAAGGTTGCTGTTGCGTTGGATATCGCCAACCTCAAGCTCGCTTTTCGACTTAGCGCATCCGCTACGATGTTTCTCTTCCCAGGTTTGTACAGAATTTCGCAATCAAACTCGGCCAAGGCATTGGCCCACCGACCTTGTTTCCCTCTCAGGTCGGGTTGTGACAAGAAGTGTTTCATTGCCACATTGTCTGTGTAAACCTTGAAGTGTCTCCCAAGGTAGTGTCGCCACTCCTTGAGCGCCTTGACCACCGCAAACAATTCCTTCTCGTGGGCATGCCACTTCCGTTGAGCCTTGTCCAACTTCTTCGAGAAGAACGCTACTGGATGGTTGTCTTGCTTCAAAACTGCGCCCAACGCAAAGTCTGAAGCATCCGTTTTTACCTCAAAGTCCTTACCAAAGTTTGGTAATGCCAACACAGGAGCCTTCCTCAACTTCCTTTTGAGGTGGACGAATGCCGCTTCGCATTCAGCTGTCCATACCATCTTCCCTTTTCCTGTTTGGTCCGTTAAGGGCAAGGTTACTCTCGAATAGTGTCTGATAAATTTTGGTAGTAGTTGCATAGCCCCAAGAATGCCCTCAACTCATGTACATTCGATGGTCGCTCCCATTCCTGGATCGCTTGGACCTTCTCCGGGTCCACCTTGAGCCCGTCCTAGCCCACCACATGCCCGAGAAACTTTACCTCTTGTTGAGCAAAGTCACATTTGCTCTCTTTAGCATACAGTTTGTGTTCCCTTAGTTTCTCAAACACCTTCACCAAGTGTTCGGCATGCTCCTTTAGCATCTCGCTATAGATCAGGATGTCGTTGATATAGACGACCACGAAGTGATCCAGATAGGGTACAAAGATGTGGTTCATCAACGCCGAAAACATTGCCGGCGCATTGCACAACCCAAAGGGCATCACCAGAAACTCAAAGCTCCCATACCTCGTTCGACAAGTTGTCTTCTCGACATCTTCCTCAGCTACCCTGATCTGGTAGTATCCTGACCTTAGGTCAATCCTCGAGAAGTATTTTGCCTTTTCCAACCTATCGAACAGGTCCTCAATCCTTGGCAAAGGGTATTTGTTCTTCTTGGTATACTTGTTGAGCAACCGGTAGTCTATGCACATGCGCATAGATCCATCTTTTTTTTTCACAAATAGCACCGGCGCCCCATACACAACTTGCTCAACCTAACATACCCTTTGTCCACCAACTCCTCTAGTTGGCGCTTGAGCTCCGCGAGTTCTTTTTCGTTCAATCGATAGGGTGGACGAACCACCGCCTCAGCACCCTCGACCAGCTCAATCTTATGTTCTATCGGTCGTGCGGGGGGCAACCCCGCCGGTAGCTCCTCCGGCATGGTATCCTGGAATTGGTCCAACACCTGCTGGATCACTAAAGGTACTTCTTCCGTTCTAGTCTTTTTGTCACTTCTCACCTTGTCCTCTTGTGGACACCAGGTTCAGGCACGAATCTTTGGCCTTGCATTGCCCTACCTTTAGATCCTGGGCCTCCACCCTAGATGTT